TGTTCACCTAACTATAACTCTGGTATTACATATAGTATAATAATATTGAATTACACCTAACTATAAATCTGGTATTACATATAGTATACTAATATTGAATTACACCTAACTATAAATATGATATGCATATAGTATGCTCATAACGAATTACACTTAACCATAAATCTGGTATTACATATAGTATACTAATATTGAATTACATCTAACTATAAATCTGGTATTACATATAGTATACTCATAACGAATTACACCTAACCATAAATCTGGTATTACATATAGTATACTAAAATTGAATTACACCTAACCATAAATCTGGTATAACATATAGTATACTAATATTGAATTACACCTAACCATAAATCAGGTATTACATATAGTATACTCATAACGAATTACACCTAACTATAAATATGGTATTACATATAGTATTTTAATATTGAATTACACCTAACCATAAATCTGGTATTGCATATAGTATACTCATAACGAATTACACCTAACTATAAATATGGTATAACATATAGTATACAAATATTGAATTACATCTAACTATAAATCTGGTATTACATATAGTATACTCATAACGAATTACACCTAACCATAAATATGGTATAACATATAGTATACTAATATTGAATTACACCTAACTATAAATCTGGTATTACATATAGTATACTTATATTGAATTACATCTAACTATAAATCTGTTTCGTGATTAGATCCAACAATATCTATAATAGGGTAAAATTTGTTTGAATATTGTAGAAAGAAAAACAGTTTTATTTCTTGCGATATGTTTAAAAATAGCTTCAATTAACAATGTACTAATTAATCCGGATATTTTTGCTTACAGTGTTGTCCAAATTCGAAGAATATTTCCTTCTCAGTGTAGTTCCTTTCAGGATCGAGGCTGGTACCGTTAGGTAGTACAAAGTCGTCGTTAGTTACATTATTGTAGTTTCCGAATAGTCCAACCATACCCTTGTTGAGGAAATCTTCACTCATTTGAATACCGATATTCAATAGTCCCTTGCTTGGAGTAATGGTTATGCCAATCCCTGGAACAAAAAATGAAACCAATCATTCAAAATAAGCTTACATTATGTAATATAAACAAATATGTTTTCTCGGAGTGTTGAATTAACGATTATTAATAAACACGAAATTGCATGCAAGAACTTTACACTTTGGCTTATAGTTAACACATGTTACATTGTAACATAATGACTGGTTGTTTAAAATAAGAAAGCCCTGTAGGCCAAGTTGTGATACACTGAATAAACCCGACTGCTCTAAAAAAGAATAAACTAATTTATATAAGTATTGACCTAGATTGTACTCTTTGAACAAAAACATTGTACTCTGATTATAATCAAATTATGTGCTCTTATTGCAATTAAAACAGTATACTGCATTTGTACTATTAGCGCACGGAATTAATACTTATAGTGTTTAACACTATAACAGTCATCCTAAATATGTAATACATTAAGGCTAATTCTAAAACATATTTCAACAGTGCAATGCAATGCAAACTTCATTAAAATGTATTTGTTTAACTGTATTTATTGGCGTACTAGCGTTGCATTACTAGTTCATGTATTTGTAATACTAACGTGTGTTACAGTTAGGCTGTGATATTAACAGTGTAATACAGTGAGGCTGTTACATTTGTTTACAAGTAGATTGAATGTACAGGTAGACTGAACGTGCTTTACAGTTAGGCTATGATACAGGTAAACCGACAGAGTACAGTTCAGTTACGCTCTGATACAGGCAGAAAAAGAGTATAAAACAGTTAGGCTGTAATACAGGTAAACCAGGTAGACTAACAGTGTAATATAGTTAGGCTGTAATACATCTAGACTAATAGTGCTATACAGGTATGCTGTAATACATGTAGACTAACAGTGTAATACCGTTAGGCTGCAATACAGGTAGACTGACAGTGTAATACAGTTAGGCTGTAATACAGGTAGACTAACAGTGTAATACAGTTAGGCTGTAATACAGGTAGACAAAGAGTGCTTTACAGTTAGGCTATGATACAGGTAAACCGACAGAGTACAGTTCAGTTACGCTCTGATACAGGTAGAAAAAGAGTATAAAACAGTCAGGCTGTAATACATGTAGACCAGGTAGACTAACAGTGTAAAACAGTTAGGCTATAATACAGGTAGACTAACAGTGTAATAGAGTTAGGCTGTAATACATGTAGACTAATAGTGCTATACAGGTAGGCTGTAATACATGAAGACTAACAGTGTAATACAGTTAGGCTGTAATACAGATAGACTAAACGTGTAATACAGTTAGGCTGTAATACAGGTAGACTGAAAGTGTCATACAATTAGGCTGTAATACGGGTAGACTAACAGAATACTACAGTTAGACTGTAATACAGGTAGACTAACAGTGTTATACAGTTAGGCTGTAATACAAGTAGACTAACAATGTAATACAGTTAGGCTGTAATACAGGTAGACTAACAGTGTAATACAGTTAGGCTGTAATACAGATAGACTAAACGTGTAATACAGTTAGGAAGTAATACAGGTAGACTGAAAGTGTCATACAATTAGGCTGTAATACGGGTAGACTAACAGAATACTACAGTTAGACTGTAATACAGGTAGACTAACAGTGTTATTCAGTTAGGCTGTAATACAAGTAGACTAACAATGAAATACAGTTAGGCTGTAATACAGGTAGACTAAAAGTGTAATACAGTTAGGCTGTAATACCGGTAGACTATCAATGTTAAACGGTTAGGCTGTAATACTGGTAGATTTACAGTCTTAAACAGTGATGCTGTAATACTGGTGGACCAACAGTGTAATACAGTTAGGCTGTAATACTGGTAGACTAACAGTGTAATACGGTTGGGCTGTAATACTGGTAGACAAATAGTGTAATACAGTTAGGCTGTAATACAGTTAGACTGAAAGTGTCATGCAATTAGGCTGTAATACATGTAGACTAACAGTGTTAAACAGTTAGGCTGTAATACTGGTAGATTATCAGTGTTAAACAGTCAGGCTATAATACAGATAGACTAACAGTGTAAAACAATTAGGCTGTAATACAGGTAGACTAACAGTGTACTACAGTAAGTCTGTAATACAGGTAGACTAAGAGTGCTTTACAGTTAGGCTATGATACAGATAAACCGACAGAGTACAATACACTTACGCTCTATTACAGGTAGACTAATAGTGTAATACAATTTGGTTGTAATACTGGTAGACTTACAGTGGTATACAGTTAGGCTGTAATACTGGTAGACTAATTGTGTAAAACAGTTATGCTGTTATACAGTAGACTAAAAGTTTAGTGATTTCGAGTAGTTTACTTACTGATCAATATCAAAATAGTGTTTTATATTCGAATCATTAGCTTTTATCACGTATATGAATTATAGACCAGATCATTTCAACAAAGGCAATCGAAATTAATATCAAGATAATCTCCGAAAGTTGCAATTTTTTTAAACAATAAGATATTTATAAAACGCCTCTAACATGGTCACTCAACCGAAGTTCCTCACCTGACGAAGTCCGAACATTAAGTGTTTTATTATCCCTAGTGAAGGTTAAGTTGCTCTCGGGGTAAGTCAAAGTTGAATCGTAATCCTCATCACTTTCAAATTGCTGCGTAATTTCAACACCATTCATGTAAATGAGCATTCCTGTAGAAAGCAAAACAATGTTAATGTTTCATAAGGAATACTATTTTAAGATATTCAGTTTAAAACACTGTCATATCGATACATTCAATCAAATTGTCAATGAGAATGTTCAAATGTAAAGTAATTATTCCAATTATCTTAGATTTCAAATGATCACTAAGAGATACGAGGGTATTTGTATATCTTTCTGATATCCACGCAGGAGTCCTTGTCTCAATGTTGGAGGAAACCGGAGTACCCAGGGATTACCCACGTGGTCGGGCAGGTGTCCCAAAAACCCTTTCACGCCGAGGATTCAAACCCCGGTCGCCTTGGTTAAAGGATATCCACTTCGTCACCCGACCAAGGATTTTTTTATCACCCAGCATACGACAACATTGTCATGAGGAAATATTAGATTGAACATTTTTCCCACTGCGGTTAAGGCAGAGAAATTTCAATCCTTTAAATTCATGTCTATGTTATATGTTTGGGGAATAAAGCGCGTCATATGATCCGTAATTTTATTTCGAGTTAAAACGTTGATGACAACTACTTGATTTATAGCAATAATGTCATTGAACTTAATTTTGCAACGCTTCAAAATGAACTGGTCGAGGAATAATATATATATTAAATGCTTGTAAAATAAAAGGCATAATAAAACGAAACGAAAAAGTGGCAAAGGGATAATTTCGAAAAAAGGACGGCAGGACGGTCGGATATGGACAACAACCATCAACAAAACCAATTTCATTTCGTGAGAATGACCAGAAATTTAAACTGAAAATTTTGAAAAGAGAACAGTAATAATGATACATAGATAAAAAGATATAATAAAACAAAGCCAACACTTACTATCATTTGATCCATATTTGTTAAGTTCCACTTGCATAGTTTCATTGCCATGATCCTTGGCAGCAAAGGCAGTAAAGACGGTGGCGTTGATTGTTTTATTATCTTTATCAACAGCCAGACCTGTTAGGGCGTGGAGCTGTAACGATCCATAGGAATCATCAGTTTTCTTATTGTCGGCAGTCAGCAATACATATTCTCCAAGTCCGTTGAATGTGTACTCATTTCCATCAAGCGTCTTGATGTGAGGGTCGCCAAAGATGTTAGCTGTTGTGGATAACAAGTAACAAAGTATTACGATTGGAAAGTAAAGTATTACAATCCCATCTCATAATTGTTTGGTTTGTATACCAATGATTCTATTATACGACGGCGGAATAGTTACAGCTCGATTTCCCCCTATCGTTTATACTTTATACAGAAGAAAGAAGAGAATGTTCATATCGCTTGGCACTCAGCATTATTTAGCCTTTGGAACGAGAAGATAAAAAACAACATATTAAGAACCTAAAAGTCCGCTACCAACTGCGTTCATAATATCGTTTACGCCGTCAAAATGAAGGTCAATCCTTATTTAACATTTATGACTAACGAGGAAACACTATTATTTGATATTACATCAAATGCGTATTAACTGTACTTACATGTATGAACCAAAAGAATATGTCAAATTACATTGACAGTGTATTTCGTACGAGCAAATACTATTTTATCTATATCATATAACAAAAACAGAGAATGACGTACCAGGAAATCATATTTCACTAGCAATGTAGTAATCACGAGCAAGCCCTTTGACTCATTTACAATAATATTGTATGACGTAAGAGGAAATCATATTACATTAATAATTTATTACGTACGAGTAAATAATATAACATCAACAGTGTATGACGTAAGAGGAAATCATATTACATTAGCATTTAATTACGTACAAAGAAACACTTCTGTATTATATCACATTGAACAAAGGATAGTTTGGATTTGTTTTCTTTCGATAGAATAAGTACATATATCGGGTATCTTTCTAGTATTAAAATATAGTTACACCTGACATATGCGAAGATGTGAATTATGATGTATTTTGGGGCCAAAATAGGCCCAAACCATACATTGTCCTTGCACACCTCATCATCGATATAAGGTTCACATAGATATAGGGGTCTAAGACACTTACAGTCGAACCTCGTTATCTCGAAGTCGTATAACTCGAAGACCCCGTTTAACTCTAAGTATTTCATCGGTCGCGGCCAAAACTCTTCTTAATCTTAGTAATAAAAACTCTGATAAATCGAACTCTGAAAACTCGAAAAACTCGGATATCCCGAAGTGAAACATCGGTCCCAACAACGTAAATCCTCCATAAAAATATCTCCTACCTCGAAGTTTCTTAAGATTCACAAGTCTATCATATATTCTTTAATTTTTTGATACATATTAGACGCAGTACTACGGTAAACATCGCTCTAAATGAGCAGCTTACGCTCGGTAATAATTACTTCGATTGAACTTATGGCATTAAAATGTGTTTGACTGTAAAAATACTTTGTACAAATAAAGAAACAAACTTCCTCAATGTTAATTAACAACAATTAGTACTTACTGCGAGCCTTATTTACACCAGTTATATATATATCTCACTGTCGGTTAAACAGTATGACAAAAATAACTCACCAAGTATGATTCTCAATATTGGTATACACCTTGAGGGAGCTGGTCGAACTGTATGGAAGTAATCGCACATATTGGCTCCTAAACAACACGTTGCTTTATAGCGTTGATTTATCCTCATAACCTGGAATCTTCTTCGGGTAAAATAATCCGGTAGATAAGTACCAGCGTTATACCCTCCGGAAATAAATCCGTTCCTATAGCAGCATTCCTTCGATATGAATAAGAAAGTTTATTACTAAAACTGCATATATGGAGTCATTTATATTTCTTATCCACGATATCGAAAATATTGTTACAAAATATACAATTTTATTACGATAGATTTTGAAAAATAGGTTAATTTATGAGGAGTACAGATGCAGAGGTAAACAACTACACGGACATTGATCCCGACAATTGAAAGAAACGACTGATATTGTTAATCGCACAAAATTGTACTTAAGATATATATAATTAGAATACTGATCTTAATTAGGTGTTGTCATGTTATGACTTCCTCTGTTCCACAAAAAAAGTATGAAATTATTTTCAGAATGGATTTGTTAAAACTGTTTCCAGACCGGTTAACAAGATCTCTGTTTATACATGTACATCTGTAGTTCATTTTTTGAAAGAGGTACTGGTATCCTTGAGGTGCTACAAGCCCTCCACAATATGTTGTAGCTACCCCGGGTTACAACCCCCTGCTAAGCCAAATTCAATTACCCCAGTTATAAAATTCAATTGACATAAGTAATTTGATTATATTAAACTAATACATGAGCAATTTAAATGGTGCATACTAAAGTTCACATACTCAATCCTAAAGCAGTAAGATTGAGCACTTGATAAAACATTGTTCATGGATTCAAAACATGTCAATATCTTTTGCGACCAAGCTGAATGCTACGAAATGACATATTATCTAAAGACCACTTATAAACCTAGGACTAATTGTCTCTTTTACTACCCGTAGAGAGTCATACCAGTCTCGATTCTAAGCCATCTCTGGCTTCCTAACACACCGGAACACATCCATCCTGCTTGGCAGAATGGACAACTGGGGTAAACAGTCCAGATCAAGGACAAAACTAACAGTAATCTCGGTCAGAGTACGAACCTGGATCACAAATCACACTCCGCCGTATGAAGAGACTTTGTAATTGGATTACACGTTTTAAGTTATATAAACACCTGTTTAACATGTGGTAAGGATTTACACATTCAATCTAAGTTTGCAAATAAAAGAGTTTTAAAATAACAAATTATAAGGAATGTTTTTATTTAAAACGAAGTCAATCAAATCCTGCTGAACGAACATCAATCTTCAAAATCATAAGAATATTTTTTTTTTTAAATGAACGTAATTTCAACTTACAAGTGCATCCCATCTGTTTATTCTGCTGATATAACATCGTTTGAAGCCGAAAAAATCAAAATCAAAACGATTGAAACGTAGCAATATACTCGCAACGAATCTACTGCAGGGACAGACAAAATCCAGGAATCTTGTTGTTATAAAAGCATGGACAGGTTCCTGTTTTACCCATCTGACACATGTAGTTGCCAGTGTAGGGAATCTAAAGCTGCTATCAAAGAGGCTGTTCGTGAAGAATCCCAGGTAATCTTAAAGAAAATCAGTTACAAAGGTTTGTTATGAAACATTATAATTATCGTTTGTTTTCAATGGTAACATCGCAAAACATGTTCCATACCATTAACATACTAGGACAAAATTAGGATTCAGTGCCAATATGACAAGTCTGCACCAAGAACTGAGGACATACCAAATCATAATGAATTCATACAAGAAACAATCTATTTTCACTACTTCATTGCGAGGAAAATCCAATTACTGTTTGAGTGGACTATGTTGTTTCATATCTTAAATACCAGTTAACAGTTTATCGGTATTGAAACGTTGCGGCACGTTTAAAACGATCTATAGATTCACAAAGGGACATGTCTTGAAACTGTGCGACACGTCTTATAGGTAATTTGTGTATACAATAAAACTTTTACATGGCTTGTTTAGTAGTAGTGCTTACTAAACACCGCGTGAAGATTAATCTATTTGGGTCCACAGACATATCACTGAAGTGCTACGGACACATATCAAAAGTAGCATTACGAACACATATCAAAAGTAGCGTTACGGACACATATAAAAGTAGCGTTACGGACACATATAAAAGTAGCGTTACGGACACATATAAAAGTAGTGTTACGGACACATATAAAAGTAGTGTTACGGACACATATAAAAGTAGCGTTACGGACACATACAAAAGTAGTGTTACGGACACATATAAAAGTAGCATTACGGACACATATAAAAGGAGTGTTACGGACACATATCAAAAGTAGCATTACGGACACATATAAAAGTAGTGTTACGGACACATATAAAAGTAGTGTCACGGACACATATAAAAGTAGCGTTACAGACACATATAAAAGTAGTGTTACGGACACATATAAAAGTAGTGTTACGGACACATATAAAAGTAGCGTTACGGACACAATAAAGTAGTGTTACGGACACATATAAAAGTAGTGTCACGGACACATATAAAAGTAGAGTTACAGACACATATAAAAGTAGTGTTACGGACACATATAAAAGGAGCGTTACGGACACATATAAAAGTAGTGTTACGGACGCATATAAAAGTAGTGTTACGGACACATATAAAAGTAGTGTCACGGACACATATAAAAGTAGCGTTACGGACACATATAAAAGTAGTGTTAGGGACACATATAAAAGTAGCGTTACGGACACATATAAAAGAAGTGTTACGGACACATATAAAAGTAGCTTTACGGACACATATAAAAGTAGTGTTACGGACACATATAAAAGTAGCATTACGGACACATATAAAAGTAGTGTTACGGACACATATCAAAAGAAGCATTACGGACACATATAAAAGTAGTGTTACGGACACAAATAAAAGTAGCGTTACGGACACATATAAAAGTAGTGTTACGGACACAAATAAAAGTAGCGTTACGGACACATATAAAAGGAGTGTTACGGACACATATAAAAGTAGTGTTACGGACACAAATAAAAGTAGCGTTACGGACACATATAAAAGTAGTGTTACGGACACAAATAAAAGTAGTGTTACGGACACAAATCAAAGTAGTGTTACGGACACAAATAAAAGTATTGTTACGGACACAAATAAAAGTAGTGTTACAGACACATATAAAAGCAGTGTTACGGACACATATAAAAGTAGTGTTACGGACAAAGATAAAAGTAGTGTTACGGACACAAATCAAAGTAGTGTTACAGACACATATAAAAGTAGTGTAACGGACACAAATAAAAGTAGTGTTACGGACACTTATCAAAAGTAGTGTTACGGACACAAATAAAAGTATTGTTACAGACACATATAAAAGCAGTGTTACGGACACATATAAAAGTAGTGTTACGGACACATAACAAAAGTAGTGTTACGGACAAAAATCAAAGTAGTGTTACAGACACTTATCAAAAGTAGTGTTACGGACACAAATAAAAGAAGTGTTACGGACACAAATAAAAGTAGTGTTACGGACACTTATCAAAAGTAGTGTTACAGACACAAATAAAAGTATTGTTACAGACACATATAAAAGCAGTGTTACGGACACAGATAAAAGTAGTGTTACGGACACAAACACAAGTAGTACTAGCGTTATGGACACACATAATAGTAGTACTAGCGTTACGAACACACATAATAGTAGTACTAGCGTTACGGACACAGAAAAAAGTAGTACTAGCGTTACGGACACACATAATAGTAGTACTAGGGTTACGGACACAGATAAAAGTAGTACTAGCGTTACGTACACAGAAAAAATGAGTACTAGCGTTACGGACACAGAAAAAAGTAGTACTACCGTTACGGACACACATAATAGTAGTAATAGCGTTACGGACACACATAAAAGTAGTACTAGCGTTACGGACACACATAGTAGTAGTACTAGCGTTACGGACACACATAGTAGTAGTACTAGCGTTACGGACACAAAAAAAGTAGTACTAGCGTTACGGACACACATAATAGTAGTACTAGCGTTACGGACACAGATAAAAGTAGTACTAGCGTTACGGACACAGAAAAAAGTAGTACTAGCGTTACGGACACACATAAAAGTAGTACTAGCGTTACGGACACACATAATAGTAGTACTAGCGTTACGGACACACATAAAAGTAGTACTAGCGTTACGGACACACATAAAAGGAGTACTAGCGTTAAAGACACACATAATAGTAGTACTAGCGTTACGGACACACATAAAGGTAGTACAAGCGTTACGGACACAGATAATAATAGTACTAGCGTTACGGACACACATAAAAGTAGTACTTGCGTTACGGACACAGAAAAAAGTAGTACTAGCGTTACGGACACATATAAAAGTAATACTAGCGTTACGGACACAGATAAAAGTAGGACTAGCGTTAGGGACACACATAATAGTAGTACTAGCGTTACGGACACAGAAAAAAGTAGTACTAGCGTTACGGACACAGAAAAAAGTAATACTAGCGTTACGGACACACATAATAGTAGTACTAGCGTTACGGACACACATAAAAGTAGTACTAGCGTTACGGACACACATAAAAGTAGTACTAGCGTTACGGACACACATAAAAGTAGTACTAGCGTTACGGACACACATAAAAGTAGTACTAGCGTTACGGACACACATAAAAGTAGTACTAGCGTTACGGACACACATAAAAGTAGTACTAGCGTTACGGACACACATAAAAGTAGTACTAGCGTTACGGACACACATAAAAGTAGTACTAGCGTTACGGACACACATAAAAGTAGTACTAGCGTTACGGACACACATAAAAGTAGTACTAGCGTTACGGACACAGATAAAAGTAGTACTAGCGTTACGGACACACATAATAGTAGTACTAGCGTTACGGACACACATAAAAGTAGTACTAGCGTTACGGACACACATAAAAGTAGTACTAGCGTTACGGACACACATAAAAGTAGTACTAGCGTTACGGACACACATAAAAGTAGTACTAGCGTTACGGACACACATAAAAGTAGTACTAGCGTTACGGACACACATAAAAGTAGTACTAGCGTTACGGACACACATAAAAGTAGTACTAGCGTTACGGACACACATAAAAGTAGTACTAGCGTTACGGACACACATAAAAGTAGTACTAGCGTTACGGACACACATAAAAGTAGTACTAGCGTTACGGACACACATAAAAGTAGTACTAGCGTTACGGACACACATAAAAGTAGTACTAGCGTTACGGACACACATAAAAGTAGTACTAGCGTTACGGACACACATAAAAGTAGTACTAGCGTTACGGACACACATAAAAGTAGTACTAGCGTTACGGACACACATAAAAGTAGTACTAGCGTTACGGACACAGATAAAAGTAGTACTAGCGTTACGGACACACATAATAGTAGTACTAGCGTTACGGACACACATAAAAGTAGTACTAGCGTTACGGACACACATAAAAGTAGTACTAGCGTTACGGACACACATAAAAGTAGTACTAGCGTTACGGACACACATAAAAGTAGTACTAGCGTTACGGACACACATAAAAGTAGTACTAGCGTTACGGACACACATAAAAGTAGTACTAGCGTTACGGACACACATAAAAGTAGTACTAGCGTTACGGACACACATAAAAGTAGTACTAGCGTTACGGACACACATAAAAGTAGTACTAGCGTTACGGACACAGATAAAAGTAGTACTAGCGTTACGGACACACATAAAAGTAGTACTAGCGTTACGGACACAGAAAAAAGTAGTACTAGCGTTACGGACACAGATAAAAGTAATACTAGCGTTACGGACACAGAAAAAAGTAGTACTAGCGTTACGGACACACATAATAGTAGTTCTAGCGTTACGGACACACATAATAGGAGTACTAGCGTTACGGACACACATCATAGGAGTACTAGCGTTACGGACACAGATAAAAGTAGTACTAGCGTTACAGACACTGATACAAGTACATACATGTTACATACACTTATCCCTCTTTCCAATAACAACACTTTCAACGATGACAAATCGCTGAGTGCTCATATCACCAAACTGACTTTAAGTCACATGTATGAATTCAGAATGGATATATAAGCTACATGTACCATGCATTGTATTTTTACATGTGAACAATGCCTTGATAACAAATACAGCAGGTTGTAAGTGTACTTACTTGAGTCCGGGTTTTGGATGGTATTATGAAGTTGGAGAGCCAGTGGGGTATTAGAAACAAACGATTTGAACAGGAAGCCAAATGATCTTATTCCAACAGGTGCAGAGCTTGTGTCAAGATCTGGTGTCATATTGATGTTTTGGTAGTTAATTATAGCGAAGGAATATGTACCATCAGTTGCAAGGATCATTTGAAAAGTGGCAACCTGAAAATAAGAATATTAAGGATCCATTTTGAAGTATGGAATTATAACATAGAAATACAATGAATACATGTTACTCCAAAACTGTTTTCACTTCTGTGAATATTGCCGCCTTAATAACTAAATGGATATGAATAAACATTCATATAAAATATTTACTCACAGAAGGAATGCTTCCTTCTGTCACTTTACTATAGGAATTGACTAATAGACAAGATATTTAGATAAATAGTACTAGTAGTACTTTGTGTATATTTCTCGCGTTTGGTGCAAATGCGTATCTCACCAATTACACTAGTCATTCTTCAATTTTCAATATGATCATATAAAGACAGTATAACTTGTTTCAAGTTTTGAAAAGAAATTGAATGAGAAATGCGTTTTTTAAAATGTATAAGAACTTACTTGCGACGGATCATCCGTGAGTTGTGCATTTGAATATGTAGCTACAAGAGCCCAGTAAGCTTCAAAACCTTGCTGTCTTGCTTGCTCGTTTTCCATAAATAACATATCGGTGATGCTGTCTAATTCAGAACTGGATCCACCCTCGGTGATGTCATACACTTGATACACAACATCACTATCACGAAATTCGAGACCCAAGCCACACACAATATCAAAACCGAAATTGAGTTCAAGAAGAAATTTTAGGAAATTACCAAAAATTCTCAGTCTTCCGTTGAATGAGATGAATCCGTTCTTATTTACCTAAAAATGAAAACAACAGTAAAAACATCGTATAAAATACTGTATACAACATCAGATGATATGTATTGCATAAAAACACACCGGGTATCCTAATGAAAAGGAGAAGGCACAGATAACGCAGAGTCAAATCTAACCTGTGTTAAAAACGTGAGAGGAAGGGTTTGAAAATTATCAGACAAAAGTGAGTTTTATAAATCCTGTTAATGCTGATATTAAGTGTAAGTTCAGAGTAATTTGGATTTCAAAACAATATTCTTGAAGGTATTTGATGCGTCGATGTATCTACATATGTAACATCACTCTTAATTTTCGTTAAGATTTACCTTTGTACTACATATTATGTACCTTTTGCAAGTTCTCTGTATTCTCTTTAACTTTTTTTCATGGTTAATTATGGCTGATGACATCCACTGAGTAATACTGAATTTTAAAGGATTCTTGTTTTAGAGAAGAACAGTGATGTATTGATTTATCTGGATAGAGGATTAGGTTAGAGGTTCAAAAAACAAAACAAAAATACAACGAGAGACTAGCTTAGTGTCAGCTAAACCATCAGTTGAACTCAAAATCGGTAACCCAAGTAAAGGGCAATATATCAACAAAGGAAAGATTAACGCCGAAACACTTGAATGAATTACCAGGAGTATAGGATCGGGTATTCCGGGAGGGAAAGTGTATTCTGTTTCATTGAGTACACCCGCCTTGTAAATCTAAGTAGAATGTGACAGTAGGGTATAGTGTAAGTATTGTGTAGTTGGATGGAGTAAAGGTATTTTATAGTTGGGTGTAGTGTAGGTGTTTTATAGTTGGGTGTAGTGTAGGTGTTTTATAGTTGGGTGTAGTGTGAAGTGTAGGTGTCTTATAGTTGTGTGCAGTGTGAAGTGTAGGTGTCTTATAGTTGGTTGAGTGTAGGGGTTTTATAGTTGGGTGTAGTGTAGGTGTTTTATAGTTGGGTGTAGTGTGAAGTGTAGGTGTTTTATAGTTGTGTGCAGTGTGAAGTGTAGGTGTCTTATAGTTGGTTGAGTGTAGGTGTTTTATAGTTGGGTGTAGTGTAGGTGTTTTATAGTTGGGTGTAGTGTGAAGTGTAGGTGTCTTATAGTTGGTTGAGTGTAGGGGTTTTATAGTTGGGTGTGGTGTGAAGTGTAGGTGTTTTATAGTTGGGTGTAGTGTGAAGTGTAGGTGTCTTATAGTTGGTTGAGTGTAGGGGTTTTATAGTTGGGTGTAGTGTGAAGTGTAGGTGTTTGATAGTTGGTTGAAGTGTAGGTGTCTTAAAGTTGGTTGAAGCGTAGGTGTTTTATAGTTGGTTGAAGAGTAGGTGTTTTATAGTTGGGTGTAGTGTGAAGTGTAGGTGTCTTATAGTTGGTTCAGTGTAGGTGTTTTATAGTTGGGTGTAGTGGGAAGTGTAGGTGTTTTATAGTTGGTTGACGTGTAGGTGTTTTATAGTTGGGTGTAGTGGGAAGTGTAGGTGTTTTATAGTTGGTTGACGTGTAGGTGTTTTATAGTTGGGTGTAGTGAAGGTGTTTTATAGTTGGGTGAAGTGTAGGTGTTTAATAGTTGGGTGTAGTGTAGGTATTTTATAGTTGGTTGAAGTGTAGGTGTCTTAAAGTTGGTTGAAGTGTAGGTGTTTTATAGTTGGTTGACGTGTAGGTGTTTTATAGTTGGGTGTAGTGTAGGGGTTTTATAGTTGGGTGTAGTGTGAAGTGTAGGTGTTTTATAGTTGGTTGAAGTGTAGGTGTCTTAAAGTTGGTTGAAGTGTAGGTGTTTTATAGTTGGTTGAAGTGTAGGTGTTTTATAGTTGGGGGTAGTGTAGGTGTTTTATAGTTGGGCGTAGTGTAGGTGTTTTATAGTTGGGCGTAGTGTAGGTGTTTTATAGTTGGGGGTAGGGTGAAGGGTAGGTGTTTTATAGTTGGGTGTAGTGTGTGGTGTAGGTGGTTTATAGTTGGGTGTAGTGTGAAGTGTAGGTGTTTGATAGTTGGTTGAAGTGTAGGTGTCTTAAAGTTGGTTGAAGTGTAGGTGTTTTATAGTTGGGGGTAGTGTAGGTGTTTTATAGTTGGGCGTAGTGTAGGTGTTTTATAGTTGGGAGTAGTGTGAAGTGTAGGTGTTTTATAGTTGGGTGTAGTAAAGGTATTTTATAGTTGAGTAAACTGCTTCCTGATGCCGTTCATAGGCAGTGTTAATGTCCACTATATTTTAATACGTATATACACATTACCATGTCTTTCTGGCTTTTTCGGTTAGAATATCTACTCATAATGTTACTTCCACGACAAACAAATGCAAATTCTTCATAATTCATAAACATGACAGGTCAGTGAATCAAAAGAACCCAACGAGTCTAGCTTATGCATTTCCCGTCATATCAAACACCTGTTGTCAGTAACGGCCTTCCGTACTGCCGAATCATCATCTTTCGAGTCCACATTAACTCATTCACCCCCGAAGACACATTTGAACCCTTCCAATTCAAAGGTTGGAATAGTTCAGGGGTTAAAATCTTTATCTGGGTAGAGTCGATTATTTTTTAACTCATTCAAAAAAATATCTTTGTCCTCAACAAGGTAGCTGAAGCCGAATGAATCGGTCGTAGACTTTTATCACTTGAATTACTTTCGAGATTCCCGAAAAGACTTTGTTATGTCACTTCATATTATAACACAAAGTTATGAATGGAAGGCAAAAGTTCGTAATTTAATGATGGTTTTGATTTTACTTCCCATTGATAGTGATTTGGAATTAAAGGGATTGAATCTGGATTTTCTCAGGTAGTGTTTGTAAACTTCTTCCCCGTCATACTCATGTTAACGTAAGACAAAATGGTTGAGAACAGAGTATATGACAGAGGAGATGTATACATGAAATAATACATATGATGTTTAGATCATGGACTACTATAATGTTAAAAAGTGTTTAAAACGCTGCAAAATTTCATTATCATTGTACATGTAGCGTTTATGTGTTTTATAACCATTTTCTTTGAAATGGTAACGTTTTGCTACTTACATACATAAAATATCGTGTTCCATGGTGGAGGGGAAATCCAAATCTGGAATAAATCAGTTGAGAACTACCACTACTCTGGAGAGATGTGCCAGAAGAGGAATCGAGGAGGGCTGAAACGTGACATTTCTTACCATTAGGCTTGTAAGAACATCGCAAATTATTAAACAGAATTTTAACATTATTTAATCAAACTGACAACAAGGCTTATAACTAGCTATTGTATATACATATCACCGTAGGTTATCTATCACCGTACGTTATCTATAATCTAGCTATTGTATATCGTATATAAATATCAACGTAGGTTATCTATAATCTAGCTATTGTATATACATATCACCATTCGTTATATACAATCTAGCTATTGTATATTGCATATATATATATATCACCATACGTTATCTATAATCTAGCTATTGTATATACATATCGTACGTTATCTATAAACTAGTTATTTTATAGACATACCAACGTTCGTTTTCTATAAAGTACATGTAGCTATTATTAATATAACACTGTAAGTTATCTAACAAACTATTTATTGATTTACGAATTAGCTATAGTGAATATATCACTGTAAGTTATCTAACAAACTATTTATTGGTCTATGAATTAGCTATAGTAAATATATTGCAGTAAGTAATCTAACAAACTATTTATTGGTCTATGAATTAGCTATAGTAACTGCATCACTGTAAGTTATCTAACAAACTATGTATTGATCTATGAATTAGCTATAGTAAATATATCACTGTAAGTTATCTAACAAACTATGTATTGATTTAAGAATTAGCTATAGTAAATATATCACTGTAAGTTATATAACAAACTATGAATTGATCTATGAATTAGCTATAGTAAATATATCACTGTAAGTATCTAACAAACTATGTATTGATCTATTAATTAGCTCTAGTAAATATATCCCTGTAAGTTATCTAACAAACTATTTATTGATTTACGAATTAGCTATAGTAAATATATCACTGTAAGTTATCTAACAAACTATTTATTGATTTACGAATTAGCTATAGGAAATATATCACTGTAAGTTATATAACAAACTATGAATTGATCTATGAATTAGCTATAGTAAATATATCACTGTAAGTATCTCACAAACTATGTATTGATTTACTAATTAGCTATAGTAAATATAACACTGTAAGCTATATAACAAAATATGTATTGATCTATGAATTAGCTATAGTAAATATAACACTGTAAGTTATCTAACAAACTATGTATTGATTTAAGAATTAGCTATAGTAAATATATCACTGTAAGTTATCTAACAAACTATTTATTGATTTACGAATTAGCTATAGTGAATATATCACTGTAAGTTATCTAACAAACTATTTATTGATTTACGAATTAGCTATAGTGAATATATCACTGTAAGTTATCTAACAAACTATTTATTGATTTACGAATTAGCTATAGGAAATATATCACTGTAAGTTATATAACAAACTATGAATTGATCTATGAATTAGCTATAGTAAATATATCACTGTAAGTTATCTAACAAACTATTTATTGATCTATGAATTAGCTATAGTAAATATATCACTGTAAGTATCTCACAAACTATGTATTGATTTACGAATTAGCTATAGTAAATATAACACTGTAAGTATCTAACAAACTATGTATTGATCTATGAATTAGCTATAGTAAATAAATCACTGTAAGTATCTCACAAACTATGTATTGATTTACGAATTAGCTATAGTAAATAGAACACTGTAAGCTATATAACAAACTATTTATTGATCTAAAAATTAGCTATAGTAAATATAACACTGTAAGTATCTAACAAAATATGTATTGATCTATGAATTAGCTATAGTAAATATAACACTGTAAGTATCTAACAAACCATGTATTGATCTATGAATTAGCTATAGTAAATATATCCCTGTAAGTTATCTAACAAACTATTTATTGATCTATGAATTAGCTATAGTAAATATATCACTGTAAGTTATATAACAAACTATGTATTGATCGATGAATTAACTATAGTAAATATATCACTGTAAGTATCTAACAAACTATGTATTGATCTATGAATTAGCTATAGTAAATATATCACTGTAAGTTATCTAACAAACTATGTATTGATTTACGAATTAGCTATAGTAAATATAACACTGTAAGTTATATAACAAACTATGTATTGACCTATGAATTAGCTATAGTAAATATAACACTGTAAGTTATATAACAAACTATGTATTGACCTATGAATTATCTATAGTAAATATAACTCTGTAAGTTATATAACAAACTATGTATTGTCCTATGAATTAGCTATAGTAAATATAGCACTGTAAGTTATCTAACAAACTATGGATTGATCTATGAATTAGCTATAGTAGATATAACACTGTAAGTATCTAACAATCTATGTATTGATCTATGAATTAGCGATAGTAAATATAACACTGTAAGTATTTAACAAACTATGTATTGATCTATTAATTAGCTATGGTAAATATATCACTGTAAGTTATCTAACAAACTATTTATTAATCTATGAATTAGCTATAGTAAATCTAACACTGTAAGTTATCTAACAAACTATGTATTGATCTATTAATTAGCTATGGTAAATATATCACTGTAAGTTATCTAACAAACTATGTATTGTTCTATGAATTAGCTATAGTGAATATACATGTAACACTGTAAGTTATCTAACAAACTATGTATTGATTTAAGAATTAGCTATAGTAAATATATCACTGTAAGTTATCTAACAAACTATGTATTGATCTATGAATAAGCTATAGTGAATATAACACTGTAAGTTATGTAACAAACTATGTATTGATCTAAGAATTAGCTATAGTAAATATATCACTGTAAGTTATGTAACAAACTATGTATTGTTCTATGAATTAGCTATAGTGAATATAACACTGTAAGTTATCTAACAAACTATGTATTGATCTATGAATAAGCTATAGTGAATATAACACTGTAAGTTATGTAACAAACTATGTATTGTTCTATGAATTAGCTATAGTTAATATAACACTGTAAGTTATCTACCAAACTATGTATTGATTTAAGAATTAGCTATAGTGAATATAACACTGTAAGTTATATAACAAACTATGTATTGATTTAAGAATTAGCTATAGTAAATACATCACTGTAAGTTATCTAACAAACTATGTATTGATCTATGAATTAGCTATGGTAAATATATCACTGTAAGTTATAACAAACTATTTATTGATCTATGAATTAGCTATAGTAAATATATCGCAGTAAGTTATCTAACAAACTATGTATTGATCTAAGAATTAGCTATAGTAAATATAACACTGTAAGTATCTAACAAACTATGTATTGATCTATGAATTAGCTATGGTAAATATATCACTGTAAGTTATAACAAACTATGTATTGATCTATGAATTAGCTATAGTGAATATAACACTGTAAGTTATCTAACAAACTATGTATTGATCTATTAATTATACTCTTAATATCAATGAATGACATAAAAGCTGATAGAATAATTGAATGACTTACCACGTCGAGGAAGACTCGGGGTAGTAGTAGCCGGCGTCGTGGTAGTGGATGGCGTCGTGGTAGTGGATGGTGTCGTGGTAGTGGATGGCGTCGTGGTAGTGGATGGCGTCGTGGTGGTAGTAGTGGGGACAGTCGTCGTGGTGATAGACATCGTGGTAGTTATAGTGGTAGGGACAGGCGTGGTAGTTGTGATGTGTGCTGCTTAATAAAAAACATATCAAGACTTTTATATTTTTCATAAAGGAAGATCATCACTAGGCACCTTCTAATAGCCGACAATTCACGGGACCATTTAGTGAAGCAAATTATGTTTGTCACCAAAGTCTTCATCTTCAATATAGCTATCTATAGATGTTCCTTATTAACCCATCATGTCCAGAAACCATGAATCGTATATATATACTTGATATACATTTTAGCGACAGTTACCGGTGAACTCATTACTAACTAAGCATGCGCAAACGTGTAATATTTTGTAAAAAAATGTCTTTCCAAGCAAGACGACAAGGTTGTTTCACGGTAAGGTCACCTACATTGAATTTTCTTTTGAATAAGAAGTACAGATATTTATTCTGAATCAATATCATCTTTCAAAAACACTTCAATCATGTTCATAACATAGTTATTTATTATACGTTTACACCTAACGATGTCGTGTGTTTAGCGTTTTCAAAATATCCCTACGGTGACGTATTGTGTGCATAGTCTCATCATACTGTGAACAATACATATCTAAAAGATGCTGTAGTTACCTAAAATGTCAACCCCCTGATGATCATGTTCAAAGAACTCAATTAAAAATCGGAACTTATGTATGTTATTTGTATATATTGAACTTGTACATTGGCCATACAAAAAATACATAGCCAGGTTAATGCAGTCGAAAATAAGTAACTAAAGCTGATGTCTTCATAAAAATAGCTCACTGAACTTATAACATGTAAATCTCTGTTGGCACCCAACTGAGAGCTGATAAATGACCCATAATTTAGTTTATTTATATACCTAGGTCATGCGGAGCTTTATTTCTCTTCTACTAGCTGTTGAGAGGAATTCCGACCTCAAATAAATATAGATGTTGCCATGTGAAACCACTGAAATCATAGTAAAATCCCCTGGTAATACATTTTAGCAAATTATAAATAAGAAAACAAAGGCTAAGTTACCTTTATCGATAAATGAACTTAGATGATGTTCCATTTGATAACATTCTGTGATTATATAAATGCGCCAGACATGTTATAAACATTGAAGCTGAACAGTACGCTAATGTTTATAACAAGTTTAGCTCTTTTATAACAACATTGAATGTTGAAAAAGGACATTTTATATGAAGTTTAAGTAGTGTTTAAGGCCAGAGGTCTATGGTTTTACACATATGTACCGGTAAAATATGTAACGCGAGCGTTTTACTATGATTTTTGTACTTTCCCATAGCAACAATCATCTTCTGTTGAGGCCGGTATGCCTCTCCACACATAGTGAAAGAGAAATAAAGCCCCGAATGACCTAGGTATATAAATGATCAGCCTTAATGCCGTATTTTGACTTCATTAACCTGGTTATGTACCTTTTTGATAGCTCATGTACAAGTTCAATATATTTTATTTACATATATATATTGCGATGTTGGATAAGGGTATTTGAATATGACTTGCCATGGGGTTAACATTTAGGGTGACTATTACATCTTTTAGGGGGCTTGTTGAACCTTAAGGGTGAATTCAGCTCACTGTAACTCGACCGCGTGGAACATGTTAACACATTACCTGGTTTTCGCACTTCAAGGCCAGGATGTTATGATATTTTTGTCGTAGCTTTATTTTTTATCTTCTTTCTATAGAGATAAAACTGACCAAACACTTGACATTGCCTTAATTGTTATTCAGTCTTTGCGTATTGCAGAGTTATCTTCTCTTGTGAGCAGGTATTGATTGTTACGTCATTTGTTTGTGATCCAGCAATAGTCGTTACTGCCTATTGGATGTACATCGTAAGTTCACGTAAGGTCAAGTGGTAATCGAAGAAAAGTTAGATAAAATGAAGTCACCGTTAGGTTTAATGACCTAAATTAATATAAATCTGTATGTTTGGTAAGACGTTATTATTCTCCACAATTTTGTACCTTATGTTGCAAGTAACATAATGCTAAGACAAAGTCATTACGTTTGTCTTTTAATGACGGTGGCTTTTATATACACACCTTGCTAGTTATAGAGTGTCTTCCCATCAAACAAGTGACGGAAATGAGTCTTAATCAATACCAATACACCAAGCCAGTCAAGAGGTACATCTACCCACTTAACAAGTCACAGTAATGCGTCTTAATCTTAAAACCTAGCCAGTTATAGAGGAACATCTACCCACTTAACAAATCACAGTAATGTGTCTTAATCTTAAAACCTAGCCAGTTATAGAGGTACATCTAAACACTTAATAAGTCACAGTAATGCGTTTTAATCTTAAATCCTAGCCAGTTATAGAGGTACATATACACACTTAACAAGTCACAGTAATGCGTTTTAATCTTAAATCCTAGCCAGTTATAGAGGCACATCTACCCACTTAACAAATCGCAGTAATGTGTCTTAATCTTAAATCCTAGCCAGTTATAGAGGTTCATCTAAACACTTAGCAAGTCACAGTAATGCGTTTTAATCTTAAATCCTAGCCAGTTATAGAGGCACATCTTCCCACTTAACAAATCACAGTAATGTGTCTAAATCTTAAACCCTAGCCAGTTATAGAGGCACATCTACCCACTTAACAAGTCACAGTGATGCGTCTTAATCTTAAAACCTAGCCAGTTATAGAGGAACATCTACCCACTTAACGAATCACAGTAATGTGTCTTAATCTTAAAACCTAGCCAGTTATAGAGGTACATCTACCCACTTAACAAATCACAGTGATGCGTCTTAATCTTAAAACCTAGCCAGTTATAGAGGAACATCTACCCACTTAACAAATCACAGTAATGTGTCTTAATCTTAAAACCTAGCCAGTTATAGAGGAACATCTACCCACTTAACAAATCACAGTGATGCGTCTTAATCTTAAAACCTAGCCAGTTATAGAGGAACATCTACCCACTTAACAAATCACAGTAATGTGTCTTAATCTTAAAACCTAGCCAGTTATAGAGGAACATCTACCCACTTAACAAATCACAGTAATGTGTCTTAATCTTAAAACCTAGCCAGTTATAGAGGAACATCTACCCACTTAACAAATCACAGTGATGCGTCTTAATCTTAAAACCTAACCAGTTATAGAGGCACATCTACCCACTTAACAAATCACAGTAATGTGTCTTAATCTTAAAACCTAGCCAGTTATAGAGGAACATCTACCCACTTAACAAATCACAGTAGTGTGTCCTAATCTTAAAACCTAACCAGTTATAGAGGCACATCTACCCACTTAACAAGTCACAGTGATGCGTCTTAATCTTAAAACCTAGCCAGTTATAGAGGCACATCTACCCACTTTTCTAGTTACAGATATTCTCCCTAATGTAGAAACTGAGCCGGTTTTCTCATAATTCAACTTTACAGTTACTGAACTCAAGGACATTTAAACAGTTGCATATAACTGAAGCGATCTGTATTGAACAACTCTGTATACATAAAGTATGAATCGCGTGCATAGTGAGTTAAAATGTGTGAAAACAAAATTCCAATAAGCTGAAGTTGTATTCACCTTTATGATAATTTATTCGAGATAAGTTTGGTTCTAGGTATTGCAAAAACTAGCATTAATTGGTAATGTAATGTTGATTTAACTGATGAAAGAGTACATGTTAGACTACAGCTTATGCTAGGATCTGCACATATGATATGATATAGTGGGCTTCTTACACTGTCACCTAGCTGCTGAATGATTTCAGCATTTATAATCGAATCAATAGATTTTTGAACTATTATTTTATGTTATTGTAAAAACCGACGAAATGTAAACATAACATTTGAATAACTTACATGTGGTTTCAGAAGCGGTTGTTGTGGTGGGTTCAGCGGTCGTTGTGGTGGTTTCAGCAGCGGTTGTTGTTGTGGCTTCAGCAGTTGTTGTTGTGGCTTCAGCGGTTGTTGTTGTGGCTTCAGCGGTTGTTGTTGTGACTTCAGCGGTTGTTGTGGTGGCTTCAGCGGTTGTTGTTGTGGCTTCAGCGGTTGTTGTTGTGGCTTCAGCGGTTGTTGTGGCTTCAGCGGTTGTTGTAGTAGCTTCGGCGGTTGTTGTGGTAGCTGTATCAGTTGTTGTGGTACCTGCAGCGGTTGTTGTGGTGGCTTTAGCGGTTGTTGTTGTGGCTTCAGCGGTTGTTGTTGTGGCTTCAGCGGTTGTTGTGGTAGCTGTATCGGTTGGTGTGGTACCTGCAACGGTTGTGGTGTCTGTGGAAGTGGTGGTTGATGTTTCTAAAAATATAGGAAAGTAATATGAAAATAATCACATATTCGTTAAAGGTAGAAACATAAAATGCAATCGTTTTGAGACATATTATTGTGACTTTCGACCCGTGTCATCGTCCTACAAAGAATACAACGTTTCCAATATGCTTATGAATTTGAATGATGTTGACCTTTCTGCGTTTTAATCAGTATACTAACACACCTGTTCAGAGAACAGCTAGGTATACGCTTAATATTCATTTCATTATTTTGTTCATTTCAACATATTTTATTGACATAGAAGAATGTTACACTGTCAAAAGGATTGGACAACAGGCTTATAGCCTATATAAGTCCTCTCCATTGATGGTAGATATATGGACAAAATGGATTGATATTATAATAATAAGATTTTGCCTACTGTCAAAAACTAATCATTGTAAACGAGTAACATATTTGGCGTTAGAAACTCGACCTCAAATCATATAAGTGATCTTGAATGCTTTTCATGTATGATGCGTCTTCCTTGAGGAGGATACGGTTTAAAAAGCACCCCATATAATGAGATCCTGTAAAACGAGAATTGTTCGAAACCATTGAAATGGAAATGCCCTGAAAAAAGAGTACGAGATCAACAAAGCGTGAGTAAATTTTACATCGTACATATTTGTTTATTAATGCTTACCCAAAATAAATTTTCAACTGGGTACACCACATTTGTCTTTAATCAGGTACATAATTCGATATCAATGGATTTTAGAACTGATTGTGGAAATATTGCTATTTTGTTTGCCTATTGACTAACCTCTCAGGAAGATTACTTTTTATGAGTAAACGGTGGTTGGAAAATAGTCGTACACAATTCTCAGGGCATGTACTCTAATGCTTTGTTACTTCGTGTATACGTCCATAAACTAACTAACGTCTATCAAGCTATACCAAAACGACACCTGCATTATAGCAACGTGAGAATGTTTATAGATATTAAACATTATATGTGATACATATTTAGGGGCATCCCCAATCATTGTTAAAGGCTGAAAATATATCTCAAATACATCACTACATGTAAAAAAACAAATACTTACGAACTATCACAGTAGTTGTATCAGTGGCAGTTATAGTTGCTACAGTTGTAGTTGTATATGCAACAGTTGTATTCGCTGCAGAAGTAGTTGTATCTGCGACAGTTGTGGTTGCTGCTGTAGTAGTTGTTGCTGCAACAGTTGTATTCGCTGTAGAAGTAGTTGTATCTGCGACAGTTGTGTTTGCTGCTGTAGAAGTTGTTGCTGCAACAGTTGTATTCGCTGCAGAAGTAGTTGTATCTGCGACAGTTGTTGTTGCTGCTGTAGCAGTTGTTGCTGCAACAGTTGTACTCGCTGAAGAAGTTGTATCTGCGACAGTTGTGGTTGCTGCTGTAGAAGTTGTTGCTGCAACAGTTGTACTCGCTGCAGAAGTAGTATCTGCGACAGTTGTGGTTGCTGCTGTAGAAGTTGTTGCTGCCACAGTTGTATTCGCTGCAGAAGTAGTTGTATCTGCGACAGTTGTGGTTGCTGCGGTAGAAGTTGTTGCTGCCACAGTTGTATTCACTGCAGAAGAAGTTGTATCTGCGACAGTTGTGGTTGCTGCTGTAGAAGTTGTTGCTGCAACAGTTGTATTCACTGCAGAAGTAGTTGTATCTGCGACAGTTGTGGTTGCTGCTGTAGATGTTGGAGTTACTACAAATTGTAGACAAACTTATAAGGGATCAACACATGCTATTGTAAATAGAAAAGTCAAATGAAATTACTTAATGAGACCCTTTATTGGTTTTCTACAGGAGAAGCCAAGGCTATTTAGGAGAAAAATACAATTGTGCCAATATTCGGATGAAACCAACTTTGAATTTTCCAAATTTTGATTTGTACGTTCGGGCAAAACTCAGCTGCGTATTGAATTGCTGGAGTGTTCGTAGTTCTACAAAGAAATCTACTTATGATCTGGAATACAGATACAGAATCTGAAGAGGTTACAGATACAAATATCTAAAGCTTTGATAAACGGGGAATGTTTGCCTTAATGCTAACTTTTACTTTGTTGCCTTTGAAAAAACAGTTTGAGCTAAATAAATATAACGTAACCCATACTAGCATACGTCATACTATTCTACATATATTATCCTTATAATACAGAACATTGGCTACTTACAGAGAACTATACACTCATTTACATCATGATAGTCAACACTGAGATGAACAGATAAACAACTAAATGTCAATTATATTTTAGAATCAACACAGGAAAGTATATCTATATTGAATTAACTAACATTTTTCCGACCAAAGTGTGCATAATACAAATTAGATATTAATCACTACTACTTAATACATCGTATCATATATTCCATCGCTGTTAAAGTAAATCAAAAGCCTAACTACAAATATATCTTACTAGTTACTACAGTGGTTGTATCAGCAGTAGTGATGGTTGCAGCAGTCGAAGTTGTATCGGCGACAGTTGTGGTTGCATCAGCGACAGTTGTAGTTGTATCGGCGACAGTTGTGGTTGTATCAACGGCAGTTGTAGTTGTGTCGGCGACAGTTGTGGTTGCATCAGCGACAGTTGGAGTTGTATCGGCGACAGTTGTAGGTGTATCAGCGACAGTTGTGGTTGTATCAGCGGCAGTTGTAGTTGTATCGGCGACAGGTGTGGTTGTATCAGCGACAGTTGTAGTTGTATCGGCGACAGTTGTAGTTGTATCAGCGACAGTTGTGGTTGCTGCTGTAGTTGTCGTGTCTGCAGCAGTTGTTGTTCCTGTAGTAGCAGCTGTATCTACGGTGGTTGTGGTTTCTGCTGTAGTCGTCGTTTCTATTGTAGGTGTTGTTGCTGTTTCTGTCGTGGTATCAGCGGCAGTTGTTGTTGCTACTACTATAGTTGTCGTATCAGCGGTAATAGTTGTAGTTGTGTTATCTGCAGCAGTTGTTGTTGAAATAGTTGTGGTAACTCCAGCGGTCGAAGGACTTCCAGAAGTTGTAGTTTCTGAAGCGGTTGTTGTTTCTCCCACAGTTTTTGTGTCTGCAGCGGTACTAGTATCTATGACACTTGTAGTTGTTGCAGCAGTTGTTGTTGTTTCTGAAAAGGATGGCAAATTAAATAAGGTAATAATTTACTTTTAACAGTGAAAAACAAAATCTCCAAAAAGACCAAATTACCTTCTCCAGCATACGTTGTTTCGTAGCTGGAAGGAAATGATTAAATCCCATTCAAAGAGAAAGTGAACTTTGGACCTTTGCAGATGATCTTTTCCTCTTTAATTGTGAAATAGTTTGCGTGATTTTTAACCATCTTATTATAGCAGGCAAATCGCATTGGTATAGCCGCCGCTGGTCCCGGTGGACGATTTAATGACTTGAAGTATAGAAATCGATGTTACCCTTGGTACTAATTGTTAACAAAAATAAACTGATCTGTCACCCTTTATCCTTCCGTTGTTTGATAGTTATAATACTTTTGAGACTTCATCATGGCAGCTTGCGATTTTATTAGACGAAATGTACAAGTCGTGTGCACTTAAGTATTTCTCGTGTTTAAGAGAAGAGAATACTATTTATACAAGTACACGATACCAACAGAAAAAAATATTAACCGCTGGGGTATGTTTTAATTGTTTTTGTTGAGTTCTGTATGAAAACGTTGGTAGGGTTAGCGTATACTTATGTAGGCCTTCGGTAATACTTTTCATTAATATCATTACAATAATTACAGTACAAACATGTTTTACTTTTCACCACTGACAGTTGAATCCTAAGAAACCTTTTGTTTTTCTTTCCAACCAAATCTTCATCCTTATTCATTACAGAATATGAAGTTGATTTCAAAAGCATGCAGTGTATAGGTGGTTAGAGAGAGAAAACTCTTACAACAATTGTATCCTTGATTGAAATGTTAAATGATATGCAAAATAACGTATATTATATCTTACGAGTCGTTGTGTCGGCTGTGAAGGTTTCTGCAGTAGTTGTAGTATCTGCAGCAGACGTTGTCGTTGCTGTTGTGGTACCAGCAGCCGTTGAGGTTGTTGCCGTAGTGGAAGTGTCTGAGACAATTGTGGTTGCTGCTGAAGTTGTCGAGTCAGTGGCGGCTTTAGTTGCTTCAGAGGTTATTGTGGCTGTGACAGTTGTGGCTTCTATAGTTGTCGTGTCTGCAGCAGTTGTAGTTTCTGCGGCTGTTGTAGTTTCTGTGGCAGTTGTAGTTACTGCTGTTGTTGTGTCTGCGCTAGTGGTAGTTACTGCTGTAGTTGTGTCTGCGCTAGTTGTAGTTGCTGCTGAAGTTGTGGTAGCTGCGGCAGTTGTGGCTCCTGTTGTAGTTATTGTATCTGTGGCAGCTGTAGTTGCTGCCGTTGTTGTCGTGTCTGCGGCAGTTGTAGTTGCTACCGTTGTTGTCGTGTCAGCGGCAGTTGTAGTTGCTGCTGTTGTGGTATTGTCTGCAGAAGTTGTTGTTGCCAAAAAAGTTGTAAAAATGATTGGCAGTTTTGTAACGTTATTTCTTTATTTTTAAGATGAAAACCCAAATCAGTATTTCTATTGCGACTAGAGCAAAATGAATATCAAATCAGATGCAAATGAAATTAACATATTATACCCTTCTTTATACAGGAATAAAATTCCGTTTCTTATCCTTTAACCCCTCATCATATTGATTGAACTTAAAACATAGTTGGTAGCATTGAGTGTTGCAATTGAATAGTTTCGGTACCGGTGTTGACCAATACAAGTGTAAGGATCTATGGTCACAATGTACAACTTTTGAAGGTAAGTGTATACTTATGTATTCAGTCGCTCACTTACATATTGTTACAAATGATAAAAAGTTACAGTAGAAAATATTATATAAATTCAACATAGTTGTGACATTATTCTTATTTTCATATAGCAGAATGTCCAATGATGTACCTGTAGCTGTCCATGATGAAACCGTAGCTGTCCATTAGTGTGTTTAATAATGGACAGCAACTTGCCTTATAGTGGACAGTTACAGGTAACAAAAATAATTTTGAGCACCAGCAATTTTTTAAAGAAATTCCACAATTTATTTACAACATATGGCTTTGCAAGATATATGTACATTTAAATTTAATAAAAAAACTAACAACAAAATATAATCCATTGAAACACCACATATTTGATCCAAAAATAATGCAGCTGCCCATATCACTGTTGAATTCGTTTCAGGAGAAAATACTTTGAAAACAAATTAATCCAACAGAATGCTGTAAAACTTACTCGATGAAGAAATACAGTAATCCAATAATAATTTTAAAATATGTATATTGATGGAATAGAAGAACACAAATCCTGATTCAGGAATAATCAAACAGATCTTCACACAACAATGATCCTTACTAAGATATAGAATTAATCCAATAGACATTTTCTGATGTTTCACGAATATTGTGGTTATTTCCTGGAAGTGAGATAATTAAACTGCCACCAATACTGGTTAAGGTGATATTTGAAATTTTAATTGATTTACCCTCTGCTTCAGGAAGTTTTCTATTTTCATCATGATTCATGCAACTTAAGTGCCATTTTAGTAAACTTTTACATTTGTGTTGTGCTCTTTGTGTTGTGGTAATTAATTAACATGTCAGTACATTAAAACTCTTCCAAAATGATGTTTATAGTGATATTGGCGTCTCCTGAGAATCACATGCTCTGGCTTCAAATGACCAAGCTGAACAGACTGGTAAAAACCCAGGATTCACTATACAGTCTGTATCAGTATTTGGACATGGAAATAATTCCCAAATATAGCAACTCTACCTGTACCTGTCCAGTAAGTTAACAATATACATTCATGCATGAATGACTATAGCTCATACAGCATACAATGAAATACTGATTTCATCTTACATTCTCATTCTGAAGCCATTGTTTATAGGTCACGTGTAAATGTTAAATGATGACAAATTTACATTGTATTCAATCTTTTTATTGTTATACCTTTGCATTAATAGGGAAGAAATATAGTGATTTTTCAATTAATCAGTGACAATCTAGGATATAATTTTGAATTCCACACGGCCGAATGATTTAAATGCATAACATTTTGATATTTTCTATCGTGTTTGTGTTTGTTTCATTATTTGCGCCTGGTTCCGTTATTATGTTACTGTTTAGTCACTCATTGTTGTTATTTTGATTGTAGTTGTTGTTGGTTTAGTTCCTGATGTTACTAGCTGAATGGTTGTGACTGATTTAGTTGTTGATATTTCAAGGGTTACATCAGTGGTTGTTGCTTTAGAAGTTGCGTTACGTTCACCATTTTGTTGTTGCCCGAACTGTTGTCGTTCTTTTAGAACATGTTTGTTCCCTGTTTATGGTTGGTTCTGTAGTTGTGGTTTCTTCCTAGATTGTGGTTGCTTCAATAGTATCTGCATTCTTGGTTGACATCGTAACAACTTGTCCTTTCGAGAGACGCAGGTTAGGGGAGTATATGGATTCCTCCTACCGACGTTATCAAGATATTACTATGCAGGCAAAGTCTTTGACAAAGCAGTAGATTATTACCTTTGAGATCAGTTTTCTTATTCCTCTTATACATTTTACAGTGTCTCTAATGTGTGATATGTTATTGGTTCATATTTTTGTCCCTAGTTACATTGATTTTGATGGGTTTGTTCCCACTTATTGATAATTTTATTTTTAAAATTCTGTCGAAAAATTACTTCCCTTTATTATTATTTATCAACCCTTCATTATAAATCATCTAATTATTGGAAATAATACTTGAAACATTCAATGTAGTTGTGTCAGCCATCGTTGTTTCAGCAGTAGTCGTGGTTTGTTCAGTAGTTGTTATTTCTGGAGTTGACGGTTGACGTTGCTTCAGTAGTTGTGCATGGTTCAGTAGTTATGCATGGTTCAGTAGTTGTGCATGGTTCAGTGATTGTTGTTGCGTCAGTACTGTTTGTTGACTCAGCAGTTGCAGTTTCGACCACAAATGTAGTTATAAATGTAAATTACGAATTAAGAAAAAAGCAATTAATTAAGGATCTGTCATTCGAAGCAATGTTTTTGTCAGGTTCAGAAGAAAAAAAATGTGACGCCCTTCTTCTTTTTAAAAACCTTCTTGAATCTGTTTGACTTCTTGTAAATTAGTATCAACTGGTACCTTTATCATCTAGCCAAATGCCCTTATGCCCCCACACAATGTATTTTTGCCGCCCTTAACATATTTATAAAAATACCCTTTATATATTTAGGTAACATTTTTATTTTTAAGACTTTACCTGTTTCAGTACTACAGTAGTTGTTGTTGGTGCAGTAGTTATAGTTGTTTCAGCTGTTGTGGTTTTAACCATATGGATGTGGTTATTTTATAAATAATTTTCGCTGGCAATATCGTTATCAATATACTAAAGACAGCGATTAAAATTATTGTTGTTAAAAAATATATCATTTATAGCATTTGCACGAAAAGCAAACTCCTTAGCTATTAAACCCGTTTTTATGATGCTTTTACACTCTTCTCATGGTCCTGTTTAATTTCTTGTTATTTATATTAGTAGCTGTTTTCTATTACACACATTTTCATTTTGTATTTACTGCTTTCTTTATCAAATTTATAGCAAATGGTTTAACGCCCTCAAGAATATATAGATAAAGAAATGAATGTGCATGTATCGTGTTTAAGGCTTTACTAATGTACCAGAAGATGTAGTTGTATCAGTCCTTGTTGTGGCAGCAGCCGTTGTGGTTACGTCAGTGGTTGTTGTGGTTACGTCAGTGGTTGTTGTGGTTACGTCAGTGGTTGTTGGTCCATCAACACATGTAGTTATAACGGAAGTTGTTGTTGCTTCAGTTGTTGTTGTAACTTCGGTAGGTGTGGTTTGTTCGCGTGTTGAAGTAGGTTCAGAAGTTGGTGTTACTTCAGAAGTTGTGGTTGCTTGAGTTGTTGTTGTTATTGTTGCATCAGTGGTTGGCACAGTAGTAGCTATTGCTGCAGTAGTCATTGTTTGTTGAGTGGAAGTTGTTGCTGCAGCACTCGTTGTTGGTTCAGCGGTTGTAGTTATTGTATCTATCGATTTAGTTGACAATCCTAATATACGAATTAAACCAATTTTTAAACGCAAAAGGAAATTGTGTTTAAAGCAGCATCCTTTATAGCTTCGGTATAAAAAATAACGCACCTTCTTCTTTTAAAATCCCTCTTGATGAATCCCTTTACTTTCTGGTGAACTTTAATAGCTGATTCGATAACAAACACTATCATTTGGTATAAACAAGTACCATTGTCACACTGGGGAAAAAATGGTGTAATACCCGCACAAAAAAACATCCCTCAAGAATATCTTATTGTTTATATAAGTTTTATCAATTTACATTGTAGAAATATAATTATTATTCTAAAAGCTTTACCTGTTTCAGCGGTTGTAGTAATTTCACTTGTTGTAGTTTGTTGCGTGGTTGTAGTTGATTCAGTTGTTGTTTTTTCTTCCGTCGTTGTCGTTGGAACAGAAATTGTAGTTGTATCAACCGTTGTTGTACCAGCAGCAGTAGTGGTTGCTTCAGCGGTTGTTGTTGCTGCATCAGTTGTCGTTGATTCGGCAGTAGTTGTGGTAGCAGCTGCAGTTGTTGCATCTGCGGTAGTTGTAGTTGCTGTTTCAGTGGTTGTTGCTGCTTCAGTGGTTGTTGCTGCTTCAGTGGTTGTTGCTGCTTCAGTGGTTGTTGTTGCTTCAGTGGTTGTGGTTTGGTCACTTGTTGTTGGTTCAGACGTTGTTGGTGCTTCAGTGGTTGTAATTACCTCAGTGGTTGTAGTATCTACATTCGTCGTTGACAATGTAAATAAATGGCAACATCTTATTATTTGGAAACAATATTATTTATCAACAGACCCATGGACAATGATCACCCGACCTGTAATACAATTGTTGGTAAGCTATTGTTGTTCTCATGTGAATAAGCAAAACAGTACATATAATGCCAATATGACTTTTAAACAGTGAATTCGCCGGCTTGATTATGTGTTTGGAGTGACCAACATATACATATAAGTGTTCTCCAATCTCAAGTTCACCATTTTTAAGATGATTTTTACATACACGGTATCCCGAGGCGGGGGACGGAGGAGAGATAGGTGGTACGGGGGAATGAATTTCTAATTTCGATACAGAACCATGGGACATTTTCATCCTCGAAAAATAAAATCTAGCATATCAGGGTCTGCAGAAAAAGATTATGGATACTTTTGGACATTACCTCTCAAACTGTGGAGGTGGTGCATTGTCTTAATTAAAAACATCAAAATAACACCTATGATTTCAACCAAGAATTAACCGTTTATTTCCCCTAAAAATCAATTAAACTGTCCCCCCCCCCCCAGATTGAAATCGGTGACCCAGGGGGAATTAAATTCATAAAATGTATCAAGCACTTTAAGACATTTCAATCGATTACAGTATACGACTCTGGAATAAATGAGTCTGAAGTCTGAAATCAACTTTCTTGAAATTTTAGCCATTTGTTTTTTTCGATCCAGCTTTCAACATCAAAGTGTGAATAATTTCCCACTGGATATAAACATAGAGTACTCCAATAGTGTGATTTTCCAGCATACCGACATTATATTCCTTCCCCTTGGGGAAAAAGGCGAGTCGTGTGTAATGAAGTTCATAATTTCGACAAAACAAATGAAGAACATCGATGGAGAATATATAATTGATTCTTGCATATCTTGCCAAGCCAAGCTGACCACTTTAGGCCCAGCAAATTCAGCTCCTTGGAAAGAGATCCATACTATTCACAATACTGGTTCTTCGTTGTCTACGAAAACGTTATGCAATTTCTTGACGGATTTTAAGGAGGGAGAACGCACGATGGATGCTGACGAACGAAATGTGATCAAAATAAGTCACATGAAACTCAGGTGACCTACTATTCTGTAAGAGAAATTACTTCTTGTCGCTGTTTTTTCACCGTCATACCAAATCTGATGAGATATACTGTAGGTCAGGTGATCATTGCAGCTTGATACATTTTCAAAAAAGATATGCAATCGAACATTGAATTGTTGTTATTTTGCATGTATTAGTATATATTTAATTTGAAGCAATTGATTAACATTGTATCATTTTAATTTGGTTACCTGCTACAGTAGTTGTCGTCACTTCCGTAGTAATTGGTTCAGTTGTCGTAGTTGGTTCAGCGGTTGTCGTTGACGACTCAGTTGTCGTAGTTGGTTCAGCGGTTGTCGTTGACGGCTCAATTGTCGTAGTTGGTTCAGCGGTTGTCGTTGACGACTCAGTTGTCGTAGTTGGTTCAGCGGTTATCGTTGACGACTCAGTTGTCGTAGTAGTACCTGCGGTTATAGTTGAAAATGTAAACAACCAAATCAACTTTTTAAAAATGATCAAAGCAGTCATTGCCTTTCAGCGGCGACAACTAATCTAAAACACCACATTATTTCATTTACTTCTTAGATATTGTTTCTGCCCTCAAAAAGATTTTAGTTACATCTCGTAGTTTTTATGAATAATTAATGAGGCTGATTTTCAAAGCTTTGGTCAAAAGGTTCGATATTTACGCGTCTGAACAATATCATTATTTCTTATTTTTACACACTTGTGTTTGAATTTTCAATTTTCAATACGTCATCGATACATTTAATGTGTTAACATACATAAACATATATACAATCGCTGCTCGTCTGTATCAACGGAAAACTTTGTCAAACAAAGGACAAATTCAAACGTGTATTTGTTATTAAGTATAAATATCGCTAAACAATTTGCCCAAAGACCTAACTGGCAATTTATTGGATATATATAGCAAGACAAATCATCTCCCTCTGGTTTGTTTTCAATTTTAATATTAATTTTATATCAGGGAACTGATACCTTTGTCAAACTAAGGGTAAAATTAATAAAGCATTCAGAGACAGTTATTTGTTAACATTTCCATTTGCTCTGCATTGCCACTATATAACCATACCAAACAATATAAAAAGATATCAGATCATAATTCTCAAACAATTCCCATTGTTGAGGTGATATAAAAAAAACATGTTCGTGACGTCGTGGTAACCCATCCGTGCTACCGGATTAAAAAACCCAATTGATTAATTTAACTCGCAACAAGTTATGTAGTTATGTTGTATAAAAGGTGAATAAACAAGAACAGGTCGCATTGTCAGACAGTGCCAAATTTGACTTTGAAATACGATAACAGTTTGACAATATAAGACAAATTTAAATTAAAAACGGAAACATAAGTATTAAACTGCCTTCTTCGGATAGTTATTGTCCTATAAATCATACAGGATTGCAGATAAAATAATCATAACGCACTAACGCGCGTTATCTAATTTGTCTGCAATCCTGTGAGAATTATAGGACAATAACTTCCCAAAAAAGGCATTTTAATGTTTAAATATAAAACATAGACATATTTTTGAAGAGATTACCTGCTACCGTAGTTGTGGCTTGTTCAGCGGTAGTTGTTGCTTCGGTGGTTGTGGTTTGTTCAGTAGTTGTGGTTGGTTCATCAGTGGTTGTGGTTGGTGCTTCTGTAGTTGTGGTTGGTACTTCAGTAGTTGTGGTTGGTGCTTCAGTGGTTGTAGTTGGCGCTTCAGTGGTTGTGGTTGGTGCTTCAGATGTTGTGGTTGGTGCTTCAGTAGTTGTGGTTGGTACTTCAGTGGTTGTGGTTGGCGCGTCAGTGGTTGTAGTTGGTGCTTCAGTAGTTGTGGTTGGCGCTTCAGTGGTTGTAGTTTGTACTTCAGTAGTTGTGGTTGGTACTTCAGTGGTTGTGGTTGGCGCGTCAGTGGTTGTGGTTGGTGCATCGGTGGTTGTGGTTTGCTCAACGGTTGTAGTACCTGCAGGTATTGTTAATAATGTGAACAAACATACTAGTATTAACGATAGTATATGATGTAAATGTCCTCCAGAGTCGAAACAGTTTTGCGAAGTTTTGAAAAACAATTCTGGATAGCTATCGTTAGTAACATCAGCAGATGTTTCTTTAATACCTGAAAAATAAGTGCGCATGAAATAGGTCAAAGTTTTCAAATTTGTATATATATATGTGTGTTCGAAACTATGAAAATTTTACATAACAGTAGCATACGTACCAACATTTTTTGTTGGTATTAACTTGGTTTAAACTTTGTTTTACTCAAATTTTGTTTGACAATACATCGAAATACATGTTTTATAAAACAGAAAAGGAAACAAAAACAAGTGTCGTGACACTTATGTAAATTTGTTACCTGCTTAGTAATCAGCTTTTCAACACTAGCTACAAGAATGAAGTAATATGTACAATAGAATAATTACGGGAATAGGGGAGGGGGTAATGGATTGGTATGCAGTGGAAACCAGGAATGAATAACATATCAATATACATATGATCATCAGATGGTAATATCATATTGCTCTATTGCGATGAGTATGTTGAACACGATTCTGTAAAATATAACAATGGAATAGTAGATGAAAATGTCAGCAGTCCTGTAAGTGGACACTCGAAAAAGGTTAAAATGTATATACAAGTTACATAGAATAAATCACCACTAAATCAACTATTGACAAAATTAGTATGTCACAAAGCACCGCCATGATTATTAAAAACGTTGCAGTTCACATACTAGCCATCACACTTATCAAATATAAGTCCATAAAACACTTTCCCGCCTCGTCCCTGGTATTAACCTAAACCTTCATCAAACTAAGGCAGATTAGAATTAACAAGCTATTCCTTTAAACAACCAAAAATGATAACAAGATAACGTTTCTGCAAATTGAATCATCAAATTAATGCATTTCTTCACGATTGTTAACCAACACTGTCAAAAACAAGACTGTATCGTATATTGAATGACCAGTCAATGGTATTTTTGTGGGAGACAACAGTGACACGGACATCGACGATGACACTGCATTCCAGGAAACACAAGTGATAAATAGGGCGTGGATAACGGAAGACACACTCATAGGAGAACAGATCTTCTAGGACCAGCAATGACAGTTTCAGTCACATCGTATTCCTAGGCTATATCCCGTGTCACTGGAGCAGCTGTCCCACGCACATTAAACTTTGATGTGAGCGTAACGCTGCAGATGAAACATCCACACATTTACTAAAGCCAAGTGAATAATTACATTTTGCTTGAGTACAAGCATTCCTCAATTCGAGATAGTATTGTTTGTATTTGAGCGGTGCACGTTATGACACCTCAACTGAATATTTAGTTGTTTTGTAGTTGTGGTAGGTTCAGCGGTTGTTTTGGCTTCAGTAGTTGTGGTAGGTTCAGCGGTTGTTGTGGCTTCAGTAGTTATGGTTTAGTCAATGGTAGTTGTTGCTTCAGTGGTTTTGATTAAAACTGTCGCAAAGAATATATTGCTATTTTCTAAGGATGAATACAAGTCAATTTTACTTGACATATTTATTTTCATTGTATTAGATGCAAGCTCTTTACAAACATTATTATATGAATGTTATATTTTGGTATCAACGGACAGTTAAGTAATCAATTTAAGTATGAAGTAAGAAAGTGTCTATTTAAACATTTAACAATTCTGTTGACGTAGCGTAAATTTTTTCTAGACTCAGCAATGGCGGTAAATGTCAAAAAAATAAAATTCATATCGAACTTGTTCCGAAACAGGTTTTAACATATAGCAGATGGGGAAAGGTATATACTATCCCTGTTCACCTAAAACAGTTGCACTGTTCAGATCAAATGGATGCTTAATTTCACGTTATTCATGCTAAAGAAATACAATTAAAACTGCAAGTTTTAAGCCAATCTTGGGAACAAATCGTCTGACAGCAAATTGAACCAAGTCGATTAAAAAAAGAAAATAAAAGCAGTTGAAATATACATTTCTATACGCACAACATTGTAAGTTGTTATATTTCATACATTATTACATCAACATGTAGTATGAATTGAGAAGAGAAGTAAATTTGCAAGGCTGTACCTGCTACAGTAGTTGCAGTTATTTCAGTAGTTGTTGTGGCTATAGTACTTGTAGATTGTTCAATGGTCGTTGTTGCTTCAGCAGTTGTGATTGCTTCAGTAGTTGTGGTTGGTGCAACGGTTGCGGTTGCATCAGTTGTTGTGATTTGTTCAGTGGTAGTTGTTGGTGTAAGGGTTGTTGTTGCTTCAGAAGTTGTGATTGCTTCAGTTGTAATGATTTGTCCAATGGTAGTTGTTGGTTCAGTAGCTTTGGTTTTTGCAAGGGTTGTTGTTGCTTCAGAATTTGTGGTTGCATCAGTGGTTGTGATTTGTTCAGAGGTAGTTGTTGGTGCAACGGTTGTTGTTGCTTCAACAGTTGTGGTTGCATCAGTTGCAATGGTTTGTCCAGTGGTAGTTGGTAGTTCAGTAGTTGTGGTTGGTGCAACGGTTGTTGTTGTTTCAGTAGTAATTGTTGCTTCAGTTGTTGTGGTTTGTTCATTGGTTGTTGTAACTGCGGATGTTGTGGTAGGTGCAACAGGTGTTGTGGTGTTGGTAGTTGTGGTTGTTGGGAAAGCTGTAGTATCTACAGTTAAAGGTAATTATGTTAAAAGTAGAGTGGGAATTTTGTTTTTGAAAACCTGTAAATGCCTATAAATTATGATAATATTATTAGCAATTTTCGAATACAGAGAAATTGACCTAACATTACTAGAATACCCCGCTATTTCTCGTTCTTAAATATTTTTGTAAATTGATAATTTGATTGATACAGGCACTTAATTGTGCATTGATACAATTGATAAATAGAAGTGTGCATATATGTTTTTAACAGATTTATAATATACCATTTCATTTTCAAGCGTTACCTGCTTCCGTAGTTGTGGTTGTTTCAGGAGTAGTTGTTGGTTCAGTAGTTGTGGTAGGTACAACAGTTGTTGTGGTTGGTTCAGTGGTCGTTGTTGCGTCAGTAGTTGCGGTTAGCTCAGTGGTTGTGGTTGGTGCAGTGGTTGTTGGTGATTCAGTGGTAGTTGTTGCTTCAGTAGTTGTTGTTGTGGCAGTAGTAGTTGGTGTTTCAGTAGTTGTGGTAGGAGCAACAGTTGTTGTGGTAGGTTCAGTGGTCGTTGTTGCTTCAGGAGTTGTAGTTGGGGCAGTGGTTGTTGTAGCTTCAGTATTTGATGTTTGTTCAGTAGTAGTTGGTGTTTCAGTAGTTGTGGTAAGTGCAACAGTCGTAGTGGTTGGTTCAGTGGTCGTTGTTGCTTCAGTAGTTGTGGTTGGGGCAGTGGTTGTTGTAGCCTCAGTAGTTGTTGTTGATTCACTATTAGTTGGTGTTTCAGTAGTTGTGGAAGGTACAACAGTAGTTTTGGAAGGTGCAACAGTTGTTATGATTGGTTCAGTAGTCGTTGTAGCTTCGGCAGATATTGTAGTATCTATAGTTATAGCATATTTTGTCAGTAATCAATTGAGAAATGTATTTTGAAAACCTGTGAATTGTTGTAAATTATAACAACATCGTTAGCATGTGTTAAGAATAGCGCTCCCTCACTGTGTTATGATATTGTTATCAATGCGTCGTTTGAGTTTGGTAGAATGATACGTGTAGCTGAGTTCAACAATCAATGTTTTTTATGTGTAAATAAAACGAAAGTGTAAATGTCGCCATTTTCTTAGTTTTGATATATGTTTATTTGTCTTTATTTTATTTTCATTGTATCATTTTAAAACTCTTCTCAATCATTATCATACTAAAGCTATGTTCTGGTTTCAACTTATACAGTTACAAATAACCAATTTAAATATCAAGAACGAAAGTGTATGTCTAAACATTAACAGTTTTGTTCACGTAGCGTAACAGAGTAAACGTTTACTACATGATATGGTTACTCTATCCCATTTAGGACACACAAAAGTCGTACTTATGTCAAAAGGGTGGAAACTGATGTCGAACATGTACCGAGATATGTTTGAAAAATAGCATTCGGGGAGAGGAACCTCTAACATTCCTGTTCACGCTAAATATTTGCATTGTTTAGAAAGAAACGGAAACAAATAAAATCTACAAGTTAAAAGCAGCCAATCCTGGGAACAGATATCCCGTCAGCAGTTTGCTATATTATTTGACGTCAAATAACCAGTTTACGAAAAAAATATAATATGAAAATATAATGATCAAAAGAAAGAAAATCAAAGAAATTGACATATACTGATAAAATGATCAATACACGCCCGAAAGTCTGATTAGTTATATTGTTTAGACAAGTACATCAATATTTTGTATGGATTTAGAGTTTTACTTTCAAGGTGTTACCTGCTTGAGTAGTAGTTGATGCCTCGGTAGTTGTGGATGGCTCAATTGTAGTTGTTGCTTGAGCAGTTGTGGTTGGCTCAGTGGTTGTTGTTGCTTGAGTAGTTGTGGTTGGGACAGTGGTTGTTGTTGCTTGAGTAATTGTGGTTGGATTAATGGTAGTTGTTACCTGAGTAGTTGTGGTTGGCTCAGTGGTAGTTGTTGCTTGAGTAGTTGTGGTTGGCTCAGCGGTAGTTGTTACCTGAGTAGTTGTGGTTGGGACAGTGGTTGTTGTTGCTTGAGTCATTGTGGTTGGATTAATGGTAGTTGTTACCCGAGTAGTTGTGGTTGGCTCAGTGGTAGTTGTTACCTGAGTAGTTGTGGTTGGCTCAGTGGTTGTTGTTGGCTCAGTGGTAGTTGTTGTTGGCTCATTGGTAGTTGTTGCTTGAGTAGTTGTTGTTGGTTCAGTGGTTGTGGTTGGTTCAGTGGTAGTTGTTGCTTAAGTAGTCGTTGTTGGTTCAGTGGTTGTGGTTGGTTCAGTGGTAGTTGTTGCTTAAGTAGTCGTTGTTGGTTCAGTGGTTGTGGTTGGTTCAGTGGTAGTTGTTGCTTGAGTAGTTGTGGTTGGCTCAGTGGTTGTTGTTGGCTCAGTGGTAGTTGTGGTTGGCTCATTGGTAGTTGTTGCTTGAGTAGTTGTTGTTATTGGTTCAGTGGTCGTTGTTGCCTGAGTAGTTGTGGTTGGCTCAGTGGTTGTTGTTGGTTGAATAGTTGTGGTTGGCTCAGTGGTTGTTGTTTCTTGAGCAGTTGTGGTTGGCTCAGTTGTTGTTGTTGCCTGAGTAGTTGTGGTTGACTCAGTGGTAGTTGTTGCCTCAGTAGTTGTGGTTAGCTCAGTGGTAGTTGTGGATGACACACCGGTAGTTGTGGTTGGCTCAGTGGTAGCTGTGACCTCTATAGTTGTGGATGGCACACTGGTAGTTGTGGTTGGGACAGTGGTTGTTGTTGCTTGAGTAGTTGTGGTTGGTTCAGTGATAGTTGTTGCCTGAGTAGATGTAGTTGGGGCAGTTGTTGTTGTTGCTTCAGTCGTTGTGGTTGGCTCAGTGGTAGTTGTGACCTCTATAGTTGTGGTTGGCTCAGTGGTAGTTGTGACACCTATAGTTGTTGTTGGCTCAGTGGTAGTTGTGGTTGGGACAGTGGTTGTTGTTGCTTGAGTAGTTGTGGTTGGCTCAGTGGTAGTTGTTACACCTATAGTTGTTGTTGGCTCAGTGGTAGTTGTGGTTGGGACAGTGGTTGTTGTTGCTTGAGTAGTTGTGGTTGGCTCAGTGGTAGTTGGTGCTTGAGTAGTTGTGGTTGGTACACTGGTAGGTGTGGTTGGCTGAGTAGTGGTTGTTGCTTGGGAAGTTGTTGTTGGTTCTGTGGTTGTCGTTGACGGCACAGTTGTAGTAACTAGAGTTATTGTAGATGATGGAAATACTCGAATGAGGAAATTATCTTAAATCCAGTAAATGTCTCTAAATCATGACAATATTGTTTTGCAAAGAAAGGTCCCTCTAGCTGTTGTGACTATTGTACGAAGAAAGAAATATGTTTAGCTTTGGAAAGTTATGCTAGTAGCCGGTTTCAAATATATTTGATATATATATTTATATCAATATGCAACCTCTTTACAAACATCATTATACAAAAGTGATGTGATAAAATCAAATAAAACATTTTCAAATAAATAATTGAAGTATCAAGTAAAAAGTGTCTGTCTGAATAACTAACAATTCGGTTCACATAGTGTAACAAAATATGTGCTTACTACACGATATGTATCTATGTCCATTTAGGCAAATGTCCAAATAATAAAACTCACATCGAACCTGTTTCAAAACAGACATGGAAATGTAACTATAACATCCATGTTCACGTGTAACATTTGTATCGTATAGATCAAACAGATATTTTGTTTTCAATTTTCCCTCGTGTTAATCGACAAAGATAAATCACAACTACAAATGTTAAGCTAGTCTTTGGAGCCCATTTTGACGAGAAATAATTCACAGAAAATACAAATCAATGGGGACTTCTTCTGAACAATCTAATAATTCGACTGCAAAAGCAATACCAGTTATTAAAATATATTTATAAGCCGATTATTACACGGACAAGATACATGTAGTTAATTGTTATCAAGTCCATATTAATGCCTCATAATGATATATGAATTTCGTAATACAGCATCTTTTCAATGCGTTACCTGCTACAGAAGTTGTGGTTGGTGCTTCAGATGTTGTGGTTGGTACTTCAGTGGTTGTGGTTGGTGCCTCAGTAGTTGTGGTTGGTGCTTCAGTGGTTGTGGTTGGTGTTTCAGTAGTTGTTGTTGGCACTTCAGTAGTTGTGGTTGGTGCTTCAGTGGTTGTGGTCGGTGCTTCAGTAGTTGTGGTCGGCACTTCAGTGGTTGTGGTTGGTGCTTCAGTGGTTGTGGTTGGCGCTTCAGTGGTTGTGGTTGGTGCTTCAGTGGTTGTGGTTGGTGCTACAGTAGTTGTGGTTGGTACTTCAGTGGTTGTGGTTGGTGCTACAGGAGTTGTGGTTGGCACTTCAGTGGTTGTGGTTGGGGCTTCAGTGGTTGTGGTTGGTACTTCAGTGGTTGTCGTTGGTGCTACAGTAGTTGTGGTTGGTACTTCAGTGGTTGTGGTTGGTGCTACAGTAGTTGTGGTTGGTGCTTCAGTGGTTGTGGTTGGTGCTTCAGTGGTTGTTGTTGGCACTTCAGTAGTTGTGGTTGGTGCTTCAGTGGTTGTTGTTATCATTTCAGTGGTTGTGGTTGGAGCTTCAGTAGTTGTGGTTGGTGCTTTAGTGGTTGTTGTTATCACTTCAGTGGTTGTGGTTGGTACTTCAGTGGTTGTGGTTGGTGCTTCAGTAGTTGTGGTTGGTGCTTCAGTAGTTGTGGTCGGGGCTTCAGTGGTTGTGGTTGGCACTTCAGTGGTTGTGGTTGGAGCTTCAGTAGTTGTGGTTGGTACTTCAGTGGTTGTGGTTGGTGCTTCAGTGGTTGTGGTTGGCACTTCAGTAGTTGGGGTTGGTGCTTCAGTGGTTGTTGTTATTACTTCAGTGGTTGTGGTTGGTGCTTCAGTGGTTGTGGTTGGCACTTCAGTAGTTGTGGTTGGTGCTTCAGTGGTTGTTGTTATCACTTCAGTAGTTGTGGTTGGTGCTTCAGTGGTTGTGGTTGGTGCTTCAGTAGTTGTGGTCGGTGCTTCAGTAGTTGTGGTTGGCGCTTCAGTAGTTGTGGTTGGTGCTTCAGTGGTTGTGGTTGGTGCTTCAGTGGTTGTGGTCGGTGCTTCAGTAGTGGTTGTTGGTTCAGTTGACAGCACAGTTGTAGTTGTTGTACCTGCAGTTGTAATTTATCAGAGAAACAATAACAAGAATAAATATTGTAGAGTCTTCAAACAAAACCATTGGACATTTCTGTTATTGAAATATATTACTTACCGTCAATGTACTGTTGAGTGTAATTAATGCATTTTTATATCAAGCAGTAGGATATTAGCATCTGAATTGTCATCAACAGATACGCATGCGAAATTAAGAATAAATGGCGAAAACTATCGCCAACATGCTGGTTGTTTTTAGAAAATATACAACGTATTTGTGTAGATACCGTTTGCATGTTTCAGTAGTGTGGGTAATGCAGTAGTTGTAAAATTAGGTTATGTTTAGGTTTGTTGGTTATGTAGATGTGGTTTGTTGGACGGTTACATTTACGTTAAAAATTGTGGTAGCTGATATGATGTGGTATACTTCATCGGTTGTTGTTTCTTTGTAGTTTTGGTATGTTGACCAGTTAAACTTTATTGATAGTTCGGTAAATAATGTTGCTTAATAGTTTTTGTATTGCTTAACTGGTCACGATTGCTGCAGTATTTGTTAGTTGATCCAGCGATTGTGTTTTGTTAAGAAGTTGTGATTCCTCACGTAGTTTACGTTGCTCCAGCTTTTGTGGTTGATACAGTAGTTGTTGTTGCTCCAAAGTTTAACTTAAGTTGAAAAGTTGTAGATGTAGAAAGTTCAGTGGAAGTATACTACATGTATTTACATCAGTAACAATTGTCCAGGGAAACAACTTTTGCTTGATGTCGTTCAATAAGTTACCTGTTTCAGTATTTGTGGTTATTTCTGACAACAGTTGTAGTCAATAATGAAAATAACCGAGAAAGGATGAACAATTTTAGACGTTTTAAATATTTTTTATTATCGGCATAATCATGTACCATTTTTTTTTTGAATATGTCAATGCCTCTCATTATCGGCAAAAAGCGTCGTTTGACGTTTGGGCAAACTATGCAAATGTATGTGTTAAGTTTATGACAACTATGGTAAGGAATGAAGATAACCATTTTGTATTTCTCTAAGATTTATATTTGTTCAACTTATTGCTGTTATTGTGTGATATTTAACTTGTTACAAACTTTACCTTATACGAAGGCTATTGTTTGGGATACACTGATAACTTTCATTCGAAAAGAAATAAATCTCAATACCACTTAAGAACCAATTATCTTTAGTAAATAATGACCACCGCTTATCCAACAAAAGATTTACTGCAGCATATCTTTGTTTCGTTCATGATAAGAGTATAATTTTGAACACATTACCTGCTTGAGTAGTTGTTGTTATTGGTTCAGTGGTTGTTGTTGCTTGAGTAGTTGTCGTAGGTTCAGTGGTAGTTGTTGCTTGAGTAGTTGTGGTTGGTTCAGTGGTTGTTGTTGCTTGAGTAGTTGTGGTTGGTTCAGTGGTAGTAGTGGTTGGCTCAGTGGTAGTTGTTGCTTGAGTAGTTGTGGTTGGCTCAGTGGTAGTTGTTGCTTGAGTAGTTGTGGTTGGTTCAGTGGAAGTTGTTGAAGGAACAGTTGTAGTTGTAGTAACTAAAGTTTTTGTCAATAATGAATGTTATCAAAAAAAACATTTAAAAAATAGTTTAATGCCCCTCATTATCGGGAAAAAGCGTGTACGATTTTCACGAAGACGATTGACGTTTAAGCAAATGATGCAAATCAATGTGTTTAGTTGATGCGATTGCTGGTAAGGAATAAATATGAATATGTTGTAAATTAAAAAAAAAAAAAGATAAAAAGGAAATTTATCTTTGTTCAGCTCATTTCTGCTATTGTGTGATATTCAACTTGTTACAAACTTTACCGTATACGAAGGCTATTGTTTGGAATACAAAGTGTACACTGATAACTTTCATTCTTAAAGAAATCAGTATCAGTACCACTTAAGAAGCATTTATCTACCACCGTTTAACAAACCAAAGATTTACTGCATCATATATTTGTTTCGTTCGTGATAACTTGTGAGTTATTCTAAATATAAAATCCATTAACATTTGGCACCAGTACGTAAAAACAGTATACATTTGAAGACATTACCTGCTTCAGTAGTTATTGTTGTTGCTTGAGTAGTTGTGGTAGGTTCAGTTGTAGTTGTTGGTTCAGTGGTAGTTGTTGTTTGAGTAGTTGTTGTTGGTTCAGTGGTTGTGGTTGGTTCAGTGGTAGTTGTTGCTTGAGTAGTTGTTGTTGGTTCAGTGGTTGTGGTTGGTTCAGTGGTAGTTGTTGCTTGAGTAATTGTTGTTGCTTCAGTGGTGGTGGTTGCTTCAGTGGTTTTTGTTACTTCAGTAGTTGTTGTTTGTTCAGTGGTAGTTGTTGCTTCAGAAGTTGTGGTTGGTTCAAATGTTGTTGTCGAGGACACTGCTGTAGTTGTTGTTTCTGCAGTGGTTGCGTATTATGTAAATAACCGAAAAATGGTGACTGATCTATCAAAGTCAATTACTCGCTTACAATATTCCAGAGAAACAACTGGCGTTAGAAGTTTTCCCTATAATTATTCGATATATTTGAACGATATTAGAAGCCGACTTTTATAATAGGTTTTAGATATTTGGGAACGAAACAATTTTTATTTTATAATATTGACTGTCATGGAATAATATGCATTTTTGTCAAGACCATTACCATTCGAAGGTTATATTATCGTAATTTCTTGAAATATTATCACAAAAAGTTATAAGCAAGTATACAAGCATTCAGTTACTCGTTGCATTCGTTAAACAAAGTGAGTATTTTCGGCATCATATAGCTTTCCACCATTAAGAGCTCATTAGTTATAATAAATTTCAAAATAATGATAATTAATATCCAAGGGTCTCAACAGATAAGTAAATATACCAGGTATAGCAGATGGGGTTACATTGTTTTGGCCTATAGAATTTTTTTTTTTTTTTTTTTTTGCGTTTCACGTACATAGTACAACAAGAAATGGACGTAAAATGTGTCCGCCACCCTAAATGACAATTATTCCAGTTCGAACGAACGACCTTGTGATATCAGATAATGGCTGGAAATGTGCAGCACGGAAAAATCCTTTTACAAATCTAGCAGATCGATGAAGAATGTCAAACAAAATGACTGAAAACTAACGATAAGTTGCAAAACTATCAAGAAAACAATTCTAAATCGACATTTAATATCAATATTTCAAAATACATATCATTTTCAAGACGTTACCTGCTTCAGAGGTCGTACTTGTTGCTTTATTTGTTGTGGTTGGTGCTTCAGTAGTTGTGGTTGGTGCTTCAGTAGTTGTGGTTGGCGCTTTAGTTGTTGTGGTTGGTGCTTCAGTAGTAGTGGTTGGTGCTTCAGTAGTTGTGGTTGGAGCTTCAGTGGTTGTGGTTGGCGCTTCAGTTGTTGTGGTTAGTGCTTCAGTAGTTGTGGTTGGAGATTCAGTGGTTGTGGTTGGCGCTTCGGTAGTTGTGGTTGGTGCTACAGTGGTTGTGGTTGGTTTGTCAGTGGTTGTGGTTGGTGCTATAGTAGTTTTTGTTGGCGCTTCAGTGGTTGTGGTTGGTTGTTCAGTAGTAGTGGATGGTGCTTCAGTAGTTGTGGTCGGTGCTTCAGTGGTTGTGGTCGGTGCTACAGTAGTTGTGGTTGGTGCTTCAGTGGTTGTGGTTGGTGCTACAGTAGTTGTGGTTGGTGCTTCAGTGGATGTGGTTGGCGTTTCAGTAGTTGTCGTTGGTGCTAGAGTAGTTGTTGTTTGTGATTCAGTGGTTGTGGTTGGTGCTTCAGTAGTTGTGGTTGGCGCTTCAGTAGTTGTCGTTGGTGCTTCAGTAGTTGGGGTCGGTGCTTCAGTGGTTGTGGTCGGTGCTACAGTAGTTGTGGTTGGAGCTTCAGTAGTTGTGGTTGGCGCTTCAGTAGTTGTGGTTGGCGCTTCAGTAGTTGTCGTTGGTGCTACAGTAGTTGTTGTTTGTGATTCAGTGGTTGTGGTTGGTGCTTCAGTAGTTGTGGTTGGCGCTTCAGTTGTTGTTGTTGGTACTTCAGTAGTTGTGGTTGGTGCTTCAGTGGTTGTGGTTGGCGCTTTAGTTGTTGTGGTTGGTACTTCAGTGGTTGTGGTTGGAGTTTCAGTAGTAGTGGTTGGTGTTTCAGTTGTGGTTGTTGCTTCGGTGGATGTGGTTGGCGTTTCAGTAGTTGTGGTTGGTGCTACAGTGGTTGTGGTTGGTGCTTCAGTGGTTGTGGTTGGTCCTTCAGTAGTTGTGGTTGGCGCTTCAGTTGTTGTAGTTGGTGCATCAGTGTTTGTGGTTGGCGCTTCAGTAGTTGTGGTTGGTGCTACAGTGGTTGTGGTTGGTGCTTCAGTAGTTGTTGTTGGCGCTTTAGTTGTTGTGGTTGGTGCTTCAGTAGTAGTGGTTGGTGCTTCAGTAGTTGTGGTTGGAGCTTCAGTGGTTGTGGTTGGCGCTTCAGTTGTTGTGGTTAGTGCTTCAGTAGTTGTGGTTGGAGATTCAGTGGTTGTGGTTGGCGCTTCGGTAGTTGTGGTTGGTGCTACAGTGGTTGTGGTTGGTTTGTCAGTGGTTGTGGTTGGTGCTATAGTAGTTGTTGTTGGCGCTTCAGTGGTTGTGGTTGGTTGTTCAGTAGTAGTGGATGGTGCTTCAGTAGTTGTGGTTGGCGCTTCAGTTGTTGTGGTTGGTGCTACAGTGGTTGTGGTTGGTGCTTCAGTAGTTGTGGTTGGTGCTACAGTGGTTGTGGTTGGTGCTTCAGTTGTAGTTAATGACACAGTTGTACTTGTAGTATCTTCAGTTGTTGTTGATAAAGGTAAGAATCGAAATAGGATAATTTCTCTTTCTATTTATAAATGTCTTTTACTTTCAACAAAATCGTTTATTACTTTTGAAATCTAACATTGTTTTGTTTTGTTTTGTTTTTTTAAGTACTTCTGGTTAGTGATGGAGAATGATACTTGAATCTGATATTTATTATTACTGTAATTGCATTGGGTAATTCTCGCAGATTCATTGCAAATCGTATTTTAAAATATTGACTGTCATAGAATGATATGAATTTTTGACAAGACCATTATCATACGAAGGTTATGTTGTTGTATTAAGAGAACATTTCTTGAAATATTATCAACAAGAAGTAATAAGCAAGTATACAAGTATTCAGTTATTCGTTGCATTCGTTAAACAAAGTGAGTATTTCCAGCACCATACAGCTTTCCACCATTAGGAGCTCATTTGTTTTATTAAATTGCAAACTAATGAATAAGGATAATAAGTATCCATGGGTTTCAAAAGATAAGTAAAAATACCAATTATAGCAGATAGGGTTACATTGTTTTGGCTTGAACAAATGATAATTGTTTTGGTTTTTTTTGAGTTTGACGTACATAGTGCCACAAGAAATGGACTTAACATTTGTGAGCCACCCAAAAGGACAATTATTCCAGTTGAACGACCGAACGACCTTGTGACAATAGATAATGGCTAAAAATCTGAAATATGGAAAATTCCTTTTATAAATGTAGAAGATCGATGAAGAACGCCAAACAAAGTGGCTGAAAACTAACGATAAGTGGCAAAAATCGTACACAAAAACAATAATGGCTATCAAGAAAACATTACTTAATCGACATTTCATATCAATATTTCGAAATACATATCATTTTCAAGATGTTACCTGCTTCAGAGGTCGTGCTTGTTGCTTCAGTGGTTGTCGTTGGTGCTTCAGTAGTTGTGGTTGGTGTTTCAGTGGTTGTGGTTGGTGATTCAGTGGTTGTGGTTGGTGCTTCAGTGGTTGTGGTCGGTGCTTCAGTAGTTGTGGTTGGCGCTTCAGTGGTTGTGGTTGGAGGTTTAGTGGTAGTGGTTGGTGGTTCCGTTGTTGTGGTTGGAGGTTCAGTGGTTGTGGTTGGTGTTTCAGTGGTTGTGGTTGGGGATTCAGTGGTTGTGGTTGGTGCTTCAGTTGTTGTGGTTGGTGCTTCAGTGGTTGTGGTTGGCGCTTCAGTGGTTGTGGTTGGAGGTTTAGTGGTAGTGGTTGGTGCTTCCGTTGTTGTGGTTGGAGGTTCAGTGGTTGTGGTTGGTGCTTCGGTGCTTCAGTTGTTGTGGTTGGTGGTTGTGGTTGGAGGTTCAGTGGTTGTAGTTGGTGCTTCAGTAGTTGTGGTTGGTGCTTCAGTTGTAGTGGTTGGAGCCTCAGTGGTTGTAGTTGGTGCTTCAGTAGTTGTGGTTGGTGCTTCCGTAGTTGTGGTCGGTTCAGCAGTTGTAGTCGATGGCACAGTTGTACTTGTAGTATCTACAGTTGTTGTTGATAAAGGTAAGAATCGAATTAGGATAAATTCTCTTTCTAGTTATAAATGTCTTTTAGTTGCGACAAAATCGTTTATTACTGTCGAAATCTAACACTACTTTTTGTTTTGTTTTTTGAGATGAATCTTTTTAGTCTTTGAGAAAAATACTAGAATCTGATGTTGATTATTTCTGTAATTGCATTGGGCAATTCTCGTAGATTTATTGCAAATTGTATTTTAAAATATTGACTGACATAGAATGATATGAATTTTTGACAAGACCATTACCATACGGAGGTTATTTTGTAGTATTAAGAGAACATTTCTTGAAATATTATCACCAAAAAGTAATAAGCAAGTATACAAGCATTCAGTTATTCGCTGCATTCGTTAAACAAAGTGAGTATTTCCAGCACCATATTGCTTTCCACCATTAGCGGGTCATTAGCTTAATGAAATTGCAAAATAATGAATAAGGATAAATAGTATCCAAGGGTTTCGAAAGATAAGTAAAAAATACCAGTTATAGCAGATGGGGTTACATGGTTTTGGCTTGAACAAATGATAATTGTTTTTTGTTTGCGTTTCACGTACAAAGCGCCCCAATAAATGGACGTAAACACAATTAATCAAGTTGAACGACAGAACGACCTTGTGACATCAGATAATGGCTGGAAATGTGCAGCTTGGAAAAATCCTTTTACAAATCTAGAAGATCGAGGAACACGGCCAAACAAAGTGACTGAAAACTAACAATAAGTTGCAAAAATCGCACACAAAAGCATTACTGGCTATCAAGAAAACATTACTTTATCGACATTTCATATCAATATTTCGAAATACATATCATTTTCAAGACATTACCTGCTTCAGAAGTCGTGCTTGTTGCTTCAGTGGTTGTGGTTGGTGCTTCAGTAGTTGTGGTTGACGCTTCAGTGGTTGTGGTTGGTGCTTTAGTGGTTGTGGTTTGTTTTTCAGTGGTTGTTGTTGGTGATTCAGTGGTTGTAGTTGGTGCTTCAGTGGTTGTTGTTGGCGCTTCAGTAGTTGTAGTCGGTGCTTCAGTGGTTGTGGTTGGTGCTTCAGTAGTTGTGGTTGCCGCTTCAGTGGTTGTGGTTGGCGCTTCAGTAGTTGTGGTTGGCGCTTCAGTGGTTGTGGTTGGCGCTTCAGTGGTTGTGGTTGGTGGTTCAGTGGTTGTGGTTGGTGCTCCAGTGGTTGTGGTTGGTGCTTCAGTGGTTGTGGTTGGTGCTTCAGTGGTTGTGGTTGGTGCTTCCGTGGTTGGTGCTTCAGTAGTTGTGGTTGGTGCTTCAGTTGTAGTGGTTAGAGCCTGAGTGGTTGTAGTTGGTGCTTCAGTAGTTGTGGTTGGTGCTACAGTAGTTGTGGTTGGAGCTTCAGTGGTTGTGGTTGGTGCTTCCGTAGTTGTTGTTGGTGATGCAGTGGTTGTGGTCGGTTCAGCAGTTGTAGTTGATGGCACGGTTGTACTTGTAGTATCTACAGTTGTTTTTGATAAAGGTAAGAATCGAATTAGGATAAATTCTCTTTCTATTTATATATGTTTTTTTGTTGCGACAAAATCGTTTATTACTGTGGCAAATTAACATTCATTTTTTGATATTTTTTTTAGATGAATCTGTTTAGTCTTTGAGAACGATACTAGAATCTGATGTTTATTATTTCTGTGATTGCATTGGGCAATTCTCGCAGTTTTATTGCAAATCGTATTTTAAAATATTGACTGGCATATAATGATATGCATTTTTGTCAGGACCATTATCATGCGAAGGTTATGTTGAAGTATTAAGAGTACATTTCTTGAAATATTATCAACAAAAAGTAATAATCAAGTATACAAGTATTCAGTTATTCGTTGCATTCGTTAAACAAAGTGAGTATTTCTAACACCATATAGCTTTCCACCATTTCGGGCTCATTAGCTTAATTAAATTACAAATTAATGAATAAGGATAATTAGTATCCAAGGGTTTCGAAATAAAAATAAAAATAGCAGTTATAGAAGATGGGGTTACATTGTTTTGGCTTGAACAAATAATAATTTTTTTTTTTTTTTTTTTGCGTTTTTCGTACATAGTGCCACAAGAAATAGACGTAAAATTTGTGAGCCACCCAAAAGGACAATTATTCCAGTTGAACGACCGAACGACCTTGTGACATTAGATAATGGCTAAAAATCTGAAATATGGAAAATTCCTTTTATAAATGTAGAAGATCGATGAAGAACGCCAAACAAAGTGGCTGAATACTAACAATAAGTGGCTTAAATCGCACACAAAAGCATTAATGGCTATCAAGAAAACATTACTTAATCACCATTTCATAACACTATTTCGAAAAACATCATTTTCAAGACGTTACCTGCTTCAGAAGTCGTGGTTGTTGCATCCATTGTTGTGGTTGGCGCTTCCGTGGTTGTGGTTGGAGATTCAGTGGTCGTGGTTGGTGCTTCAGTTGTTGTGGATGGCGCTTCAGTGGTTGTTGTTGGAGCATCAGTGGTGGTGATTGGCGCTTCAGTGGTTGTGGTTAGTGCTTCAGTTGTTGTGGTTGGCGCTTCAGTGGTTGTGGTTGGCGCTTCAGTAGTTGTGGTTGGTGCTTCCGTAGTTGTGGTTGGAGCTTCAGTGGTTGTGGTAGGCACTTCTGTGGTTGTGGTTTGAGCTTCAGTGGTTGTGGATGGTGCTTCAGTGGTTGTGGTTGGTGCTTCAGTGGTTGTGGTTGGAGCTTCAGTGGTTGTGGTTGGCGCTTCAGTGGTTGTGGTTGGTGCTTCAGTTGTTGTGGTTAGCGCTTCAGTGGTTGTGGTTGGCGCTTCAGTAGTTGTGGTTGGTGCTTCCGTAGTTGTGGTTGGCGCTTCAGTGGTTGTGGTTGGTGCTTCAGTTGTTGTGGTTGGAGCTTCAGTGGTTGTGGTTGGCGCTTCAGTAGGTGTGGTTGGTGCTTCCGTAGTTGTGGTTGGTGCTGCAGTTGTAGTCGATGGCACAGTTGTACTTGTAGTATCTACAGTTGTTGTTGATAAAGGTGAGAATCGAATTAGGATAAATTCTCTTTCTTTTTATAAATGTCTTTTAGTTGCGACAAAATCGTTTATTACTGTCGAAATCTAATATTCATCTTTTTATTGTTTTTTTTAAATGAATCTGTTCAGTCATGGAGAACGATACCAGAATCCGATGTTGGTTATTTCTGTGATTGTATTGGGCATTTTTCGGAGATTTATTGCAAATCATATTTTAAAATATTGACTGACATAGAATGATATGAATTTTTGACAAGACCATTACCATACGAAGGTTATGTTGTAGTATTAAGAGAACATTTCTGGAAATATTATCAACAATAAGTAATAAGCAAGTATACAAGCATCAAGTTATTCGTTGCATTCGTTAAACAAAAAGAGTATTTCCGGTACAGTTCATATAGCTTTCCACCATTAAGACCACATTTGTTTAATTAAATTGCAAAATAAGGAATAAGGATAATAAGTATCCAAGGGTTTCGAAAGATAAGTAGAGATACCAGTTATAGCAGATGGGGTTACATTGTTTTGGCTTGAACAAATGATAATTGTTTTTTTCTTTGCGTTTCACGTACATAGTGCCACAAGAAATGGACGTAACATTTGTGAGCCACCCAAAAGGACAATTATTCCAGTTGAACGAACGAACGACCTTGTGACTTCAGATAATAACTAAAAATGTGAAACACGGAAAATTCCTTTTATAGATCAAGAAGATCGATAAAGAACGCCAAACAAAGTTGCTAATACTAACAATAGGTGGCTAAAATCGCACACAAAAGAATTAATGGCTATCAAGACAACATTACTTAATCAACATTTCAAAACAATATTTCGAAAAACATATCAGTTTGAAGACGTTACCTGCTTCAGAAGTCGTGGTTGTTGCTTCAGTGGTTGTGGTTAGAGCTTCAGTGGTTGTGGTTGGAGCTTCAGTGGTTGTGGTTGGTGCTTCAGTGGTTGTGGTTGGTGCTTCAGTAGTTGTGGTTGGAGCTTCAGTGGTTGTGGTTGGAGCGTCAGTGGTTGTGGTTGGAGCTTCAGTGGTTGTGGTTGGTGCTTCAGTAGTTGTGGTTGGAGCTTCAGTGGTTGTGGTTGGAGCTTCAGTGGTTGTGGTTGGAGCTTCAGTGGTTGTGGTTGGTGCTTCAGTAGTTGTGGTTGGAGCTTCAGTGGTTGTGGTTGGTGCTTCTGTAGTTGTGGTTGGTGCTTCCGTAGTTGTGGTTGGTGCTGCAGTTGTAGTCGATGGCACAGTTGTACTTGTAGTATCTACAGTTGTTGTTGATAAAGGTAAGAATCGAATTAGGATAAATTATCTTTCTTTTTATAAATGTCTTTTAGTTGCGACAAAATCGTTTATTACTGTCGAAATCTAATATTCATATTTTTATTGTCTTTTTTTAAATGAATCTGTTTAGTCATGGAGAACGATACCAGAATCTGGTTTTTATTATTTCTGTGATTGCATTGAGCAAGTCTCGGAGATTTATTGCAAATCATATTTTAAAATATTGACTGTCATAGAATGATATGAATTTTTGACAAGACCATTACCATACGAAGGTTATGTTATTGTATTAAGAGAACATTCCTGGAAATATTATCAACAAAAAGTAATAAGCAAGTATACAAGTATTCAGTTATTCGTTGCATTCGTTAAACAAAGTGAGTATTTCCAGCACCATATAGCTTTCCACCATTAAGAGCTCATCAGTTTAATTAAATTGCAAAATAATGAATAAGGATAATTAGTATCCAAGGGTTTCGAAAGATAAGTAAAAATACCAATTATAGCAGATGGGGTTACTGTACATTGTTTTGGCATGAACAAATGACAATTGTTTTTTTCTTTGCGTTTTACGTACATAGTGCCACAAGAAATGGACGTAAAATTTGTGAGCCACCCAAAAGGACAATTATTACAGTTGAACGAACGAACGACCTTGTGACATCAGATAATGGGTAAAAATGTGAAACACGGAAAATTCCTTTTATAAATGTAGCAGATCGATGAAGAACGCCAAATAAAGTGACTGAATACTAACAATAGATGGTTAAAATCGCACACAAAAGAATTAATGGCTATCAAGACAACAATACTTAATCAACATTTCATAACAATATTTCGAAAAACATATCAGTTTGAAGACGTTACCTGCTTCAGAAGTCGTGGTTGTTGCTTCAGTGGTTGTTGTTGGAGCTTCAGTGGTTGTGGTAGGCACTTCAGTGGTTGTGGTTGGAGCCTCAGTGGTTGTGGTTGGAGCTTCAGTGGTTGTGGTTGGAGCTTCAGTGGTTGTGGTTGGTGCTTCCGTAGTTGTGGTTGGTGCTGCAGTTGTAGTCGATGGCACAGTTGTACTTGTAGTATCTACAGTTGTTGTTGATAAAGGTAAGAATCGAATTAGGATAAATTATCTTTCTATTTATAAACGTCTTTTAGTTGCGACAAAATTGTTTATTACTGTCGAAATCTAATATTCATATTTTTATTGTTTTTTTTTAAATGAATCTGTACAGTCATGGAGAACGATACCAGAATCTGGTTTTTATTATTTCTGTGATTGCATTGGGCAATTCTCGTAGATTTATTACAAATCGTATTTTAAAATATTGACTGACATAGAATGATATGAATTTTTGACAAGACCATTACCATACGGAGGTTATGTTGTAGTCTTAAGAGGACATTTCTTGAAATATTATCAACAATAAGTAATAAGCAAATAAACAAGCATTCAGTTATTTGTTGCATTCGTTAAACAAAGTGAGTATTTCCAGCACCATATAGCTTTTCACCATTAAGAGCTCATCAGTTTAATTAAATTGCAAAATAATGAATAAGGATAATTAGTATCCAAGGGTTTCGAAAGATAAGTAAAAATACCAATTATAGCAGATGGGGTGACATTGTTTTGTCTTGAACAAATGATAATTGGTGGGGTTTTTTGCGTTTTACGTATAGAGTGCCACAAGAAATGGACGTAAAATTTGTGAGCCACCCAAAAGGACAATTATTACAGTTGAACGAACGAAAGACCTTGTGACATCAGATAATGGGTAAAAATGTGAAACACGGAAAATTCCTTTTATAAATGTAGAAGATCGATGAAGAACGAGCTTCAGTGGTTGTGGTAGGGACTTCAGTGGTTGTGGTTGGAGCTGCAGTGGTTGTGGTTGGCACTTCAGTGGGTGTGGTTGGCACGTCAGTGGTTGTGGTTGGTGCTCCCGTGGTTGTGGTTGGTGCTTCATTGGTTGTGGTTGGTGCTTCATTGGTTGTGGTTGGTGCTTCATTGGTTGTGGTTGGTGCTTCATTGGTTGTGGTTGGTGCTTCATTGGTTGTGGTTGGTGCTTCATTGGTTGTGGTTGGAGCTTCAGTTGTTGTGGTTGGAGCTTCAGTTGTTGTGGTTGGCACTTCAGTGGTTGTGGTTGGAGCTTCAGTTGTTGTGGTTGGCACTTCAGTGGTTGGGGTTGGTGCTTCAGTGGTTGGTGCTTCAGTAGTTGTGGTTGGCGCTTCAATGGTTGTGGTTGGAGCTTCAGGGGTTGTGGTTGGTGCTTCGGTAGTTGTGGTTGGTGCTTCTGTAGTTGTTGTAGGCGCTTCAGTTGTTGTGGTCGGTGCTTCAGTGGTTGTGGTTGATGCTTCAGTTGTTGTGGTCGGTTCAGCAGTTGTAGTCGATGGCACAGTTGTACTTGTAGTATCTACAGTTGTTGTTGATAAAGGTAAGAATCGAATTAGAATAAATTATCTTTCTATTTATAAATGTCTTTTAGTTGCGACAAAATGCAAAATCGTTTATTACTTTCGAAATCTAACATTATTTTTTTTATTATTTTTTTTAAATGAATCTGTTCAGTCTTTGAAAACGATACTAGAATCTGATGTTTATTAGTTCTGTAATTGCATCGGGCAATTCTCGCAGATTTATTGCAAATGGTATTTTAAAATAATGACTGTCATAGAATGATATGCATTTTTGACAAGACCATTACCATACGAAGGTTATGTTGTAGTATTAAGAGGTCATTTCTTGAAATATTATCAACAAAAAGTAATTAGCAAGTATACAAATATTCAGTTATTTGTTGCAATTGTTAAACAAAGTGAGTATTTCCAGCACCATATAGCTTTCCACCATTAGGGCTTCGTTAGTTTAATTAAGTTGCAAAATAATGAATAAGGATAATTAGTATCCAAGGGTTTCGAAAGATAAGTAAAAATACCAATTATAGCAGAAGGGGTTACATTGTTTTGGCTCTAATAAATGATAATTGTTTTTTTGTTTGCGTTTGAAATGGACATAAAATTTGTGAGCCACCCAAAAGGACAGTTATTCCAGTTGAACGAACTAACGACCTTGTGACATCAGATAATGGGTAAAAATGTCAAACACGGAACATTCCTTTTATAAATGTAAAAGATCGATGAAGAACGCCAAACAAAGTGGCTGAATACTAACAATAGGTGGCTAAAATCGCACACAAAGACATTAATGGCTATCAAGACAACATTACTTAATCACCATTTCATAACAATATTTAGAAAAACATCATTTTCAAGACGTTACCTGCTTCAGAAGTCGTGGTTGTTGCTTCAGTGGTAGTGGTTGGAGCATCAGTGGTTGTGGTTGGTGCGTTAGTGGTTGTGGTAGGCGCTTCAGTAGTTGTGGTTGGTGCTTCAGTGGTTGTGGTTGGAGCTTCAGTAGTTGTGGTTGGTGCTTCAGTGGTTGTGGTTAGAGCTTCAGTGGTTGTGGTTGGAGCTTCAGTGGTTGTGGTAAGCACTTCAGTGGTTGTGGTTGGAGCTTCAGTGGTTGTGGTTGGAGCTTCAGTGGTTGTGGTTGGTGTTTCAGTGGTTGTGGTTGGTGCGTTAGTGGTTGTGGTAGGCGCTTCAGTAGTTGTTGTTGGTGCTTCAGTGGTTGTGGTTAGCGCTTCAGTGGTTGTGGTTGGTGTTTCAGTGGGTGTGGTTGGTGCTTCAGTGGTTGTGGTTAGCACTTCCGTGGTTGTGGTTGGGGCTTCCGTAGTTGTGGTCGGTGCTGCAGTTGTAGTCGATGGCACAGTAGTACTTGTAGTATCTACAGTTGTTGTCGATAAAGGTAAGAATCGAATTAGGATAAATTATCTTTCTTTTTATAAACGTCTTTTAGTTGCGACAAAATTGTTTATTACTGTCGAAATCTAATATTGATATTTTTATTGTTTTTTTTTAAAATGAATCTGTACAGTCATGGAGAACGATACCAGAATCTGGTTTTTATTATTTCTGTGATTGCATTGGGCAATTCTCGTAGATTTATTACAAATCGTATTTTAAAATATTGACTGACATAGAATGATATGATTTTTTGACAAGACCATTACCATACGGAGGTTATGTTGTAGTCTTAAGAGGACATTTCTTGAAATATTATCAACAATAAGTAATAAGCAAATAAACAAGCATTCAGTTATTTGTTGCATTCGTTAAACAAAGTGAGTATTTCCAGCACCATATAGCTTTTCACCATCAAGAGCTCATCAGTTTGATTAAATTGCAAAATAATGAATAAGGATAATTAGTATCTAAGGGTTTCGAAAGATAAGTAAAAATACCAATTATAGCAGATGGGGTGACATTGTTTTCGCTTGAACAAATGATAACCGGTGGTTTTTTTTGCGTTTTACGTATAGAGTGCCACAAGAAATGGACGTAAAATTTGTGAGCCACCCAAAAGGACAATTATTACAGTTGAACGAACGAAAGACCTTGTGACATCAGATAATGGGTAAAAATGTGAAACTTGGAAAATTCCTTTTATAAATGTAGAAGATCGATGAAGAACGCCAAACAAAGTGGCTGAATACTAACAATAGGTGGCTAAAATCGCACACAAAAGAATTAATGGCTATCAAGACAACATTACTTAATCAACATTTCATAACAATACTTCGAAAAACATATCAGTTTGAAGACGTTACCTGCTTCAGAAGTCGTGGTTGTTGCTTCAGTGGTAGTGGTAGGCGCTTCAGTAGTTGTGGTTGGTGCTTCAGTGGTTGTGGTTGGTGCTTCAGTGGTTGTGGTAGGCACTTCAGTGGTTGTGGTTGGTGCTTCAGTAGTTGTGGTTGGCGCTTCAGTGGTTGTGGTTGGAGCTTCAGTGGTTGTGGTAGGCACTTCAGTGGTTGTGGTTGGAGCCTCCGTGGTTGTGGTTGGAGCTTCAGTGGTTGTGGTTGGTGCTTCTGTAGTGGTGGTTGGTGCTTCGGTAGTTGTGGTTGGTGCTTCTGTAGTTGTGGTAGGCGCTTCAGTTGTTGTGGTCGGTGCTTCAGTGGTTGTGGTTGATGCTTCAGTGGTTGTGGTCGGTTCAGCAGTTGTAGTCGATGGCACAGTTGTACTTGTAGTATCTACAGTTGTTGTTGATAAAGGTAAGAATCGAATTAGAATGAATTATCTTTCTATTTATAAATGTCTTTTAGTTGCGACAAAATGCAAAATCGTTTATTACTTTCGAAATCTAACATTATTTTTTTTTATTATTTTTTTTAAATGAATCTGTTCAGTCTTTGAAAACGATACTAGAATCTGATGTTTATTAGTTCTGTAATTGCATCGGGCAATTCTCGCAGATTTATTGCAAATGGTATTTTAAAATATTGACTGTCATAGAATGATATGCATTTTTGACAAGACCATTACCATACGAAGGTTATGTTGTAGTATTAAGAGGTCATTTCTTGAAATATTATCAACAAATAGTAATTAGCAAGTATACAAGTATTCAGTTATTTGTTGCAATTGTTAAACAAAGTGAGTATTTCCAGCACCATATAGCTTTCCACCATTAGGGCTTCGTTAGTTTAATTAAGTTGCAAAATAATGAATAAGGATAATTAGTATCCAAGGGTTTCGAAAGATAAGTAAAAATACCAATTATAGCAGAAGGGGTTACATTGTTTTGGCTCTAATAAATGATAATTGTTTTTTTGTTTGCGTTTGAAATGGACATAAAATTTGTAAGCCACCCAAAAGGACAATTATTCCAGTTGAACGAACTAACGACCTTGTGACATCAGATAATGGGTAAAAATGTCAAACACGGAACATTCCTTTTATAAATGTAAAAGATCGATGAAGAACGCCAAACAAAGTGGCTGAATACTAACAATAGGTGGCTAAAATCGCACACAAAGACATTAATGGCTATCAAGACAACATTACTTAATCACCATTTCATAACAATATTTAGAAAAACATCATTTTCAAGACGTTACCTGCTTCAGAAGTCGTGGTTGTTGCTTCAGTGGAAGTGGTTGGAGCATCAGTGGTTGTGGTTGATGCTTCAGTGGTTGTGGTTAGTGCGTCAGTGGTTGTGGTTGGTGCGTTAGTTGTTGTGGTAGGCTCTTCAGTAGTTGTGGTCGGTGCTTCAGTGGTTGTGGTAGGCGCTTCAGTAGTTGTGGTTGATGCTTCCGTAGTTGTGGTTGGTGCTTCAGTTGTTGTGGTCGGTGCTCCAGTGGTTGTGGTAGGCGCTTCAGTAGTTGTGGTCGGTGCTTCAGTGGTTGTGGTCGGTGCTTCAGTGGTTGTGGTTGGTGCTTCAGTGGTTGTGGTTGGTGCTTCCGTAGTTGTGGCTGGTGCTGCAGTTGTACTTGTAGTATCTACAGTTGTTGTTGATAAAGGTAAGAATCGAATTAGGATAAATTATCTTTCTGTTTATAAATGTCTTTTAGTTGCGACAAAATCGTTTATTACTGTCGAAATCTAACATTCATTTGTTTTTGAGTTTTTTAACATGAATCTGTTAATTATGGAGAACGATACTTGAATCTTATGTTTATTATTTCTGTAAAGTATGAGTGAACAAAACGATTATCAGCATTTTTATCAAACACCTTGTTTTCTGGTTGACATATTTACGTTTACATTATGATATTGTTATACAAAGGTTATGTTTTGGCATCAACTGATAATCTTTTCAAAAAAACACTATTAATACAATGTAACAAAGCAATAAAATATCAATAACTTTAACATATGGTTTTTCCCTCTATTTAAGACTCCTCAATGGTAATTAAATAAATAAACATGGACATTCATGTCTTCGGTATTCTGAAATATTTGTGAAAATATAAAAATCTGGAAAATATATCGATGAACATTTCTTTCAGTAGCTAATTCACATTATTTAGCTAAAACAGACAATTTTATTTTAAAAGTGTTTTTTCGTGTAAAATGTGTCAAACAGGAACATTTAGGCCAATCTCACATAAAGCCAGTAACCCATTAACATATCAAACCCTAGCGTATGACTAAATTTCGGCGGAGGAGTTATTCTTTATGATGTATACAATGGGGCATCAACATTGTGTGTCAATTAAGCAATAAAGCATCACTTACCTAGTACAGTGGTTGTGGTTGGGTCAGTGGTAGTTAACGCTTCGGACGTTGTAGCTGATAATGTAAGTAACAGAATAAGTTCAACAATTGTAACACGTGTAAATGCATTTTAAAATGTAACACAAAAAATACAAAGAAATAAAAGTATATCCATCAAGACGTTTTGTACAATACGTTTTTAATAATTATACTAGAGGGTGACTTTTGCAATTTCTGTAAAATGTATGTGAACAAAATCTGTGTGTTTTGAAAGTCTTTCATTTTTAATCCATATAAAATGTTTCAAATATTTATTTTCAACGTATAAAATAAAAACCATGTTGGTAATACAACATCCTATACATATAAAACCGTTTGAAAATATACGACCTTGTGTTGTATGAACTGAAAACTGCCAGCATCAATCAGTTAGGGTAGGGTAAGACAAACTATATCGGACTGTTATGTGGTCATCAATTTCAAGCCCTGGTGATGAAAATGTATTAATATTTCGATCCAATGACAATTGCTATCACTTACCTGATTGTGTACTTGTTGAAGTAGTTGCAGCGTCTGTGGTTGACGCTGTGGTTGCAGCGTCTGTGGTTGAAGCTGTGGTTGCAGCGTCAGTTGTTGAAACTGTGGTTACAGCATCTGTGGTTGAAGCTGTGGTTGCAGCGTCTGTGGTTGAGGCTGTGGTTGCAGCGTCTGTGGTTGAAGCTGTGGTTGCAGCATCTGTGGTTGACGCTGTGGTTGAAGCGTCTGCGGTTGAATCTGTGGTTGCAGCATCTGTGCTTAAATCTGTGGTTGAAGCGTCAGTTGTTGAAGCTGTGGTTGCAGCATCTGTGGTTGACGCTGTGGTTGAAGCGTCTGTGGTTGAATCTGTGGTTGCAGCATCTGTGCTTAAAGCTGTGGTTGAAGCGTCAGTTGTTGAAGCTGTGGTTGCAGCATCTGTGGTTGACGCTGTGGTTGAAGCTGTTGTTGCAGCGTCAGTTGTTGAGGCTGTAGTTGCAGCATCTGTGCTTAAAGCTGTGGCTGAAGCGTCAGTTGTCGAAGCTGTGGTTGCATTGTCTGCGGTTGAAGCTGTGGTTTCAGCGTCTGGGGTTGACGCTGTGGTTGGAGCATCTGTGGGTGAAGCTGTGGTTGTAGCATCTGTGGTTGAAGCTGTAGTTGCAGCGTCTGTGTTTGAGGCTGTGGTTGCAGCAGCTGTGGTTGAGGCTGGGGTTGCAGCATCTGTGGCTGACGCTGTGGTTGCTGCGTCTGTGGTTGAAACTGTGGGTGCAGCGTCTGTGGTTGAAACAGTTGTTGCAGCGGCTGTGGTTGAAGCGTCTGCGGTTGAGGCTGTGGTTGCAGCATCTGGGGTTGACGCTGGGGTTGAAGCGTCTGTGGTTGACTCTGTGGTTGCAGCGTCCGTGGTTGAAGCTGTGGGTGCAGCATCTGGGGTTGACGCTGGGGTTGAAGCGTCTGTGGTTGAAGCTATGGTTGCAGCGTATGTGGTTGAAGCTGTCGTTGCAGCGTCAGTTGTTGTAGCTGTGGTTGCAGCTTCTGTGGTTGACGCTCTGGTTGCAGCATCTGGGGTTGCAGCATCTGTGGGTGAGGCTGTGGTTGCAGCGTTAGTTGTTGACGCTGTGGTTGATGCGTCAGTTGTTGAAGCGGTGGTTGCAGCATCTGCGGTTGACGCTGTGGATGAAGCTGTGGTTGCAGGGGCTGTGGTTGACGCTGCGGTTGAAGCGTCTGTGGTTGACGCTGCGGTTGAAGCGTCTGTTATTGAAGCTGTCGTTGCAGCATCTGTGCTTTAAGCTGTGGTTGCAGGGGCTGTGGTTGACGCTGCGGTTGAAGCGTCTGTTATTGAAGCTGTCGTTGCAGCATCTGTGCTTAAAGATGTGGTTGAAGCGTCAGTTGTCGAAGCTGTGGTTGCAGCGGCAGTTGGTGAAGCTGTGGTTGCAGCGGCAGTTGGTGAAGCTGTGGTTGTAGCATCTGTGGTTGAGTCTGTGGTTGCAGCATCCGTGGTTGACGCTGTGGTTGCCGCATCTGTGGTTGACTCTGTGGGTACAGCGTCTGTGGTTGATGATGTGGTTGCAGCGTCGGTTGTTGAAGCTGTGGTCGCGGCATCTGTGGTTGACTCTTTGGTTGAAGCTGTGGTTACAGCATCTGTGGTTGGCGCTCTGGTTGCAGCATCTGTGCTTGAAGCTGTGGTTGACGCTGCGGTTGAAGCGTCTGTGGCTGAATCTGTGGTTGCAGCATATGTGCTTAAAGCTGTGGCTGAAGCGTCAGTTGTTGAGGCTGTAGTTGCAGCGTATGTGGTTGAAGCTGTTGTTGCAGCGTCTGTGGGTGAGGCTGTGGGTGGAGCGTCTGTGGTTGATGATGTGGTTGCAGCATGTGTGGTTGAGGCTGTTGTTGCAGCGTCTGTGTTTGAGGCTGTGGTTGCAGCATGTGTGGTTGAGGCTGTGGTGGCAGCATCTGTGGTTGACTCTGTGGTTGCAGCGTTAGTTGTTGAAGCTGTGGGTGCAGCATCTGTGGTGGACGCTGTGGTTGCAGCCTCTGTGGTTGACGCTGGGGTTGAAGCTGTGGTGGCAGCCTCTGTGGTTGACGCTGCGGTTGAAGCGTCTGTTATTGAAGCTGTCGTTGCAGCATCTGTGCTTAAAGCGGTGGTTGAAGCGTCAGGTGTTGAAGCTGTGGTCGCAGCATCTGTGGTTGCAGCATGTGTGCTTAAAGCTGTGGCTGAAGCGTCAGTTGTTGAGGCTGTGGTTGAAGCGGTGGTTGCAGCATCTGTTTTTGCCGCTGTGGTTGAAGCTGTTGTTGCAGCGTCAGTTGGTGCAGCTGTGGTTGCAGCCTCTGTGCTTAAAGCTGTGCTTGAAGCGTCAGTTGTTGAGGCTGTAGTTGCAGCATCTGTGCTTAAAGATGTGGTTGAAGCGTCAGGTGTTGAAGCTGTGGTCGCAGCATCTGTGGTTGGCGCTCTGGTTGCAGCATCTGTGCTTAAAGCGGTGGTTGAAGCGTCAGTGGTTGAAGCTGTGGGTGCAGCATCTGTGGTCGACGCTGTGGTTGCACCCTCTGTCGTTGACGCTGTGGTTGCCGCATCTGTGGTTGACTCTGTGGTTGAAGCTTTGGTTGAAGCGTCTGTGGTTGAAACAGTTGTTGCAGCGGCTGTGGTTGAAGCGGTGGTTGCAGCATCTGTGCTTAAAGATGTGGTTGAAGCGTCTGTTATTGAAGCTGTCGTTGCAGCATCTGTGCTTAAAGCGGTGGTTGAAGCGTCAGGTGTTGAAGCTGTGGTTACAGCATCTGTGGTTGAGGCTGTGGTTGCAGCATCTGTGGTTGACGCTGTGGTTGAAGCTGTGGTTGCATTGTCTGCGGTTGAAGCTGTGGATGCAGCGTCTGTAGTTTCTGAAAAAAATAAGGCATAATCTTTTAACTTCATGTCAGTCGGTTCGTATTTCTGTATTATTTCAAAGTTTTCAACTTTATATTATTTGAAGGTAAATCTTTATTCTGGAATGAAATGTAACCGCTTTTGATACAAGACTGCTGAAATATATGTTCTTGTATGTAATTTGCGTTACTCTCGTCATCGAGTAGACAACAGGCCTAATGAATCAAGTAAGACAATGACACCGGTAGAATATCGCGGCAGAACATATTTGTCCAACTAAATTGAACTTATTTCGCTTTTGTAAATGGTACTGAAACTGAATTTTGAGTTTCGTTTCACCAAATTTAACAACAGTCATAACCGTTTCATAGGTTATTTACAATGTAGATACATTTATTGTAAGGGAATATGATTATTTACTGCTTTTTATATATTGTCAGTTTTTCATCGCCGTGATACGTTACTGCTGATACAAATTCACTGTTTCATCTTCTCATACATATCTCATAGTTGCTTTAAAAGGAGTGACGATTTGTATCACAGTTCCATGTAAATACACTACTGGCTAGGAGGAACCTATACCAGAACAGCCAACCGGATAGTTGTGGAAACACATTAATATTTCAAACTAATCACAGAACTGGACGTTACGGTAGAAAACAAATGAGATAACTCGCCTGTGGTTGTAGTAGGAGTTTCAGTAGTAGAGGTACTTGTGAATACGACAGACGTGTTTAGATTGACAATGAGGAACAATAATAGAAGTAGCCTTGCCAGAACTGGCCAGTTCCTCGCCATGGTGTCGACCCTGCAAGGAGACAAAATACCTAATATCAAATGCACACACGATTCTCTAGCTAATGACGAAACAAATAAATGTATTTCAACCAGTTTCTATTTTTATTGTTATTTTCAATAAAATTCCCATATGGCATACTTTGTTAAAAGATATGCATTGTGTACATATCATGACAATACATGTACTTATATAACAAATGATTTGTACATTACGCCGAATAGGTTTCGCCCAGGTATAACTCTAAAGCAAAGGACAAAAGTACATTAATTCAGACGCAAAATGTTGTCTTAATTAAAGATTTAGACTTCTCTCAAAATTTAAATCTTCTACTACATGTTTTGGATAAAAATGTTTTTTTATCGAGTTTTGAATTGTCAATAGGACAACAGAAACCAAACAACATTTACAATCTATCAATAGAAATGGCTAATTTGTAATGTGCTGAAAAGTGATGTTACGACCTATGGTAATCTATGTAGTTTGTACGCAATAGATGTGCTGAGATATAGATTCTGGTTGTACCGGAGGTGTCGGGTGGTTTTAGTGAGACCACACCCACACCCGTATAGCAATAGACTTGGTAGTAAACAGGATAGTTTAAATACAAGAGTCAGAAACATGAGACGCAACAGGTAGACCTCCACTGACACGTATCATCGTGTCCTTCCCAAATTAGAAAGACGAATGGCGGTAAAAGGATCGGTTGTTTTGATGTCACGTTTCAATAGAAATCGTTAAGCATATTAAAAAGAGTACATATTCCCTCTTCTTTTGACAAACCAAAAACTAGTTACATAATTTATGAATACACAACTGTAATAGCTTAAAAACGCCCTACTGAAGGAACTGAACAAATGTATGCATGCTATGATGTCCACAATGCTTTATTTATACAGTATTGAGTGACAGTTCCAATCTTTTGTGTGTTTGATATAAAAAGAAACCGTTTTGAAGAAACACTAAATCTGTACACACTCAACAAAAATGCCGCTTTGAAAACTCTGAAAAGACGATTGCCACTTGTGATTTTGTCTGGGTATCGCTTTCTGTCGATAGCGATCTGAATGGTTTTCACGAGGTCATCTACTAAACAATTTTTTGATCCACGTATAGAACAACACTAGCCGCGTACTGCTTACTACACGATGATAAAGGACAAGTAACAGGGTGAATACATACGTCAAGTAATATTGCAATATTTAAGTGAATATATTTACATTCTGTATGTTTTGACCCATTGACGAAAATGACATAAATTTCTGCATAACATACATGTAGGTGACCTCATCACTGCGTATTGATACACTACAATGGCGTAGCACAGGGCGTAGTTGGTAGACGTCGGCCGTGAAACAGCCCTCGATGTAGTTTTGTTATGCGAATATGATTAACATTAAACATTATTTGTTTGATGTTAAAGCTAAAACAAGATATATAAAAACTTGATAATAATATACGACTTGCAACTATTATAAGAATTAAATTTTGAAAACGGAACTATTTTTTGTTTGTTTTATTGTCATGCTGTTGCTAGGACCCCCAGCGAAAGTTTTACATTTTCCCGCGAAAACACGCTGTTCCCTCCACTGCGCTGCCCTCACGTATGAATAGAAAAACACAATATTTTTTTATTATTTATGCTTGCATCGGAAAATTCAAAGCATTTCAAAAATGAAAATATAGGAAATGAAATTATTTTTTCAACATTCATGAGGTCATAACAACATTTGCTTTCTGGACATATTTACCAAGAATCGTTATAATGCGATTCTTCAATACGATACTTGGTAAATATGTCCAGAAAGCCAATGTTGTTATGACCTCATGAATGTTGAAAAAATTAATTTCATTCATTAAATATCACAATATATTGCAATCCTTGAAATCAAGTGTATAAGTGTTTTCTGTAGATTAAACGCAAAGTAAGCACCTGTTCTGTAAGCTTCAGTGATACAAAACAAAAGACAGAAGGTGGCGGTTTGACGAGGCTTTAATGTACATGTAATATTGGAAGTTATCACACCAACCAAGCTTATTTTATAACATAAATTCAATAATAACATGATGCCTTTGAAATTATTACATAACGTTTCGAATTCAAATCGCAATATTGTTAAACATATATTCATTGAAATATTATCACCGACATTTAGTAACAATGTGTAGTCGGCTGGTGTATTGTACAATAGTAAAAAAAACACCTATAGCATTGTTCACACGCTCTTACAAATCGATTAGATAAGCCAGCATACATGACGTCAGGATATGACAGTTTAACTCAGCAAAGTCTCACTGAAACGTTTAGACTTGTTTATACAACTCATATGAACTGGAAACTTAGTTACGATTCAGTATCTATTGTACGACTAGTATTCAGTTTCATGTTTAGTGAGCAATTCTCAGGATTTATTAGTTACATTATTACCTCTGAAACAACCTGATCATTTGCTGCATAACATTTGTATAGTTATAGTAGTAGTTATCCCGTCAGTTTGGTTCGCCAATTGGTTAATGTAATGCTAATACAATGTTTATTATACATTATGTGTGATAACAATACAGGCATTTGGTTTAATTGTTGAACGTTCGCGCAGTTAAGAAAGGCAATGGGTTCTGTCCCCACAACCAAAGTTCTTCAAAATGGCAGTTGTTATTCCCTGCTAAACGTTCAGCATTTACAGAAATAGCAACAACTGGTTCACCCGTTGTCAGTATAATGTAATGGGTGGAACACTACAATGTATGCTGGGTGCATTCGGCTTGGTACTGCATTCAGATCCGCACTAACGCAAGGATGAGTATACACCAATATGCCCTGTCTCCAACTTACATACGCACGTGCATGCTTTCATTTAACACATGAAAACACGTTCTAAACTGCTAATACGACGTTAAACGTCATACAATTCAAACATAAAACTTGAAATGTAAGAGAAAACCGAAAATAAGCCCAGACTGTTACATTATAATGATGCTTAGACTAAATAAAGGGTGTATTTTAAAAACTGGGCAAAAGGACAGATGAACGGAGAAATGGCCAGGACATAATCAAACTGTTCCTATTATTTCTTGGAACGTGCAATATCTATTTACTGTCCAATACAATTCCACAATGGGAGCGTACCCGTGCATTTTGGCCTATTCTAAAACAGGCAATTATCATGTCGTGAGATTTGCCCACAAGTTACATGCTTTATAACCCTACACCCAGTTAATTCAGCCTCGCCCTAGTAACAGGATACGTACCCTAGTGACGCTATATAGTCTTAACCGTGAGAAACATTCCAAACAAAGATCATATTTTCATACGATCATGTTGTTGATTATTTATACGTCGACTGTAACAGTGTAAGAAGTCCTGGGCGTCCTCTATATAGGTCGCGAGGAGATCTGGTCACGAAGCCTTTCATTACCGGTAAATGAGGATCGTAAATGAGTGCCCTTCCGATGCGGCCACGGAGCTCTTTTCTAATATAAAACTAAACAAAAAAAATATCGAATTACGTTCACAACTTCAAGTCTCGTCTGCTTGTTAATTTCAGGAAACTTTGTGATCGAGCTTTAAAATGACGATGAACAATGTTGGTGGCTTCATATGACATAGACGGGGACACACCTCTTTGACAGATATACGCCTTCTACTGCAATAGTACCACAGAGCGAGAAACGTTTTATTTACTTATATTTCTCAAGGAGCTGCCGCCCACAATTTTGTCAAACGATGATATTGCGGTACGGTAGCTTACGTGAATAAATGATACTACACTATACAATGTTTCAGATAATATAACTGCTCAAGATGTGTTTGTGAAGAATTACGTTGGTAAAGAATATTCTGTCTGCAAGTCACGTGCCAAAATGTCTATCTGGGGTATGGCCATCGAGTACCTATAGAAAGCTGGACATAATTGACCAACTATAGAAGATAAATATTGGTACACCTAATTCAGCGTGAAGTCAATATTTCACCTCGTAAACATTAACGGACATTAATCTGTAGGTGTAGGTCAAGAAGCAACCATGGCCAGTTACGGTCATCTAATTGAGCAAGGGCGTGTTGTGGTCAGGTTGAGGGTACTAATACGTTATGGGGGTATTGGTTTTGAAAATCTGAAAAATAAACATTCGTAGTGCAGTGTGTTAGGTGAGAAACATAACATGCCGACCGTTTTTGCCGTGGGCCCAGACACGTCGATTCCCTATAACTTTATATGTTATTGCTGACCAATAGTAGCAGATGGTGTTAAACAAGGACATGACTTACACTGCATCTTCGAATTAACCCCTCAAATGGAGTAATATACTGTGGTTCACGGCTGCCTTACGTAGAGATGCCCAACAACGTCCTGCAGACTACGCTATTGTAAAGAGATTGTATATAAACCCTTGTCAGGTTTAAAAAACGAATACCCTCTCACCACTCGAAGTACAAGGTGTACCGATTATGTGACATTTGTACAACGACTTTCCTCCCTCCACACTCTGACAACACACTCTAGATTACCCATGCATTATCAGAAATCTCTTTCAAAATGAAGGTGTCCTATTCCATTTAGGATATCAGCAACGTTTAATTTGTGATAGTCCTGAAGTTCGCACTGTGGTAACTGACGCGACATGTTAAGTTAAAACCAACGTATAAAACTAATCCATTATACATACACCATGTCAACTTCCCAACTCGAACTGTAAATTAAGAGCAGATTTTGAATTTTCGTATTGAAACGGGGCACCAGTCCGTCGTCCTGGTCCAATACGGAAATTCAAAATCTACACTTATGATATGATATTTCTGTCTTTATTTCTATTTTAATATTCTTTCCCATGTTTCCCATGGGGCACCTGTCCATCGTCCTATGAGAAACAGAAACACGTATACCGTCTATGTTATGACAGTGTATGGGACTTATTCCATTATTAATGATTCGGTAACAGCATCAAGGGGGAAACGCCAATTGTTCCTATACATGTCCAACTACCTCAACATGAAAGGGTGTTTCGAATTTGTA